AAACGTCCGTATGCTGATGACAGACATCTATTCTTCGAGTGCATCTGTTTGTGGAAATATGGACATTTATGTATTGCTCGGAAATATAACTAACAGTCAAAGCCTGGTGGCAAAATGTCACTATAATCTTAGATCAAAATTAGAAGTTGTTCTCTTGGACAACAGTGATCAATTTTCAGTGAATGAACAGTATTTTAATAAGTTTGTCCAGAATACCTTTCAAGCCTCTGGAAACAACATTAAATTTCAATGTATTAGTGATATAGATTTCACACAACAAGTGGATTCTGAGGAGAACTCACACATACAGACATACAGACAGGTGGTGCTAGGTGGTACCTTTGATCGTTTACACGCTGGACATAAGATTCTCTTAGGGGAGGGATGTTTACTGGCTGAGGAGAGATTAACAGTCGGGGTTACAACTGGAGACATGAATCTTAGTAAGCTTTGATTCTGTGTTTTATATAACTAAGAGATTAATTGAAAAATAGTTGTCCATTATCATTAAATGGACTAACTGAGTAAAATTTCTTTCTTAATTTAATTATTTTTCATACTTTTCACCTTTGTGACACAGTATTAAGAAAACATTACAATGATAAAGAATATTCTGATCAAGACTTTCCTTGGAAATATTCATGACATTGAATTTACATTGCATCATTTTTTAGTACATGTACAATCTCAAATAGAAAGTTTTTGAATGCATTAACCTGTCTTGGTAACCACGCAGCCTGACTGTAAATTTTTATATGCATCAAGCAATTAGTCCAAAGGGCACGTACTGATGGCTGTCTATAAATCACTAGCCCAAATCCAAAATTTAATGGCCCCAGACCAGTGGGCCATCAATTATTTCAAAATGATAAGAAACAGGCGATACTTTAAAAAAAAAAAAAAAAATAGGAGGTACATGTACCTTGTGGAAACAATTTAAATTAAATGTGTTATCAAAATTTTTCTCAACAAATATTTTGGCCAGTACTATTATAATTTCAGTAAAAATTTCGTATTTCAGTATAAATTTCGGGTACTGGCAGATTTTAAAAGGCCTGCCAGTATAATATATGAGTTAATTCATGTTTACTTAATTACATAATTTTAATTTGGCTAACAACCTAAAACAATGTGTCATTACTATTAAAACTTCAAACCCTGACTTTATAATTTGCTTAGAAAAGTCTCTACCAGAGCTGATTCAGCCCACGACAGAAAGAATCAACTCAGTGGTGGACTTCATTGAGACAGTGAAGCCACAGATCAGTCACCGCGTGGTGCCCATCTCGGACATGTTCGGTCCCACCATCACAGACCCTGATTTACAGTGTATCGTCGTCAGTGCTGAGACGGCAAAAGGTGGCGAGATAGTGAACCAAGAAAGACAGAAAAAGGTGGGAACATGGTGGCTTTTTTCCATTCTGCTAGATTATATGTGCTGTCATAACCAAATCTGATTTATATTAAGTTCCTAAAGGTACTTTCTGGTTTCTTAAATTTGTGCTATTAGATATAATATTAAACTTTGGAATAACAATATAATAATATTGTTGCTTCTGCAGTTGACAACGGACAGCTGTGTACAATATGATTACTTAATAGTGATTTAATAAAAGTGGCAAAAAAAAAGATGAAATTTAATTATTAAATTCTGAATTCTCCTGTTTTCATGATAGCTAATTAAATAATACTGTAAAATACAGATATAGCAAACACCCTTATAATCATGATAATGAATTGAACAGAGTAGTTTTCATTCCCCATGGCTTTAAAACATATTGTGAACTTAATAGATATAACAAATTATGTTCATATTGAAGCAAAATGGCATTTTTTTTATAAGTATGTTTTACTGTATTGAAAAAAGGAGAGATTCAAAATTTTGCAATCTGCTTTGTAGTAATAAATCAGAAAAATTTTGAAACAAAGAATTTAATATATGAAAAAGAATTCAAGTACTTTTCAAATATATTTCCTTTTAGAAGAAATTTCTCATCTCTTGATTTTCCCATCTGCACAAATGTTAAGACTTTTTTTTTTACTGGTTTCAGGGGTTCCAACAGCTAGATGTGTACACCATTGACCTAGTTCAGGATATATGTCATGGTCAGTATGAAGAGGTCAAGGTCAGCTCATCATCATTAAGGAAACGGTTACTAGGAACAGTGATTAACCCAATTAAGGTATTTCAGGGTTTGTACTTAACTCCTAGCTATTTCCACTAGCCATGTGAGTTCCTAAAATTTCAAATTTAGGAACCTGTAACTTATTAGCCCACAACCTAGATATCCTTTTATTCAAAAAAAAAAAAAAAGTTATCTATTAAAATACTGTACACCATTTGAACAATCACATATAGTTTACATACAACAAGGGTGAAAGTTGTCAAGACATAAATTTGTTAGCTGACATGCTAATGACAGAATGTCATACAAATAAGATGATTTCAGAGTCCAGAGAAATGTCTTAAAGGAGAAAAAATCTGCTGCTAAGGGATAGAAATGAAAATTTGACAGGAAGTTATAGTTTAAGCTTAAGTATCTACAACATGATATCTCAGATACTGTGGATATCCCAGAGTGAGCTGGAAGTCCCAACCACCTTAATTTTCTTTCTGCATATACAACCCTCAATATTTTGAATCCTCAGATATCTTGGAAGTTTTTTTTTCTTGGACTCCCAAGTTCAAGATAAAGAGGATTGACTATATGTTTCCTTATAAAATTTTCTGTGTCTGATATATCACAAATTTCTTTGAGTAATGGTATAAATTACATGAAATTCCATCTCCATCTTCTCAGTCCTATTAAGAGAGGAAGTCCTGATTGCAGAAAAAAAATCATTGAACAGATAAATTTACCCCTTATAGAAATTCCATTAAGGTATTGAAAATGAAATTTGTAAACATGTGCTAGGTAAAGCTTTTTGGTTATATGAGTGACCTCACATTATCTCTATTAGTTCATAACAATAAACCAATAAGGACACTTCAGAAAACCAGGGCTTTGTGCAGCTAGATATGCCAACATTGGCCTAGTTCTGTATTCATGTCATGGTCATTATGAAGAGGTCAAGGTCAGTTTATCATCACTATGGAAATAGATACTAGGAACAGTGGTTAACCTAATTTTACCCTTATTGTACATGTATGTAAAGTACAGTTGAACCTTGTATCTAAAAGACCAATATCTCGAATACCATGGATATGTCAAAGTGATTTTGAAGTCCTAACCCCTTATTCTGTAAGTATTTTATCTTGAATATCTTGAATCCTAAGATATCTCGAAGTTTTTCCTTGGTACCATTGAGTTCAAAATAATGAGGTTTGACTGTAATTAAGATTTTTATTCAGGATGAATACAGTATCATGGCTGCAAAATCATTTTTAATAGGTAATTTACTTACAAATATGCAGTTTTTGTTGATGAAATGTGTATAATTTGATTTTCAGGAAAACAGAAACATTCCATCTTCTCCCTACATTCTGGGTGTAACAGGTGGTATAGCTAGCGGGAAATCAGCCATTTGTAAAAGGTTGGAGAAGCTAGGTGCAGCTACAGTGGACTGTGATAAACTAGGTACATGTAATACTGATTTTAGAAACAGAAAAAATATTCATGGTATATTTGTCCAATTCTCAGTTTACACTGTTTCCCCCCAAAAGAGGGCTTGCTTAGAGAACAATCATGCATTAAAATCTCAGAGGAGAAACAGAGTTAATGTTCTTTTGTTTGATATCTGTCTTTCAGGTCATCAGGCCTATGTAAAAGGCACTCCTGGTTACGATAAAGTTGTCAGTACTTTCGGTACAGGGATTCTCAGTGAGGATGGGGAGGTAAACAGAAGAGCCCTGGGAGCCATTGTTTTCAGTGATGAGGTATGTACATGTAGATTTCTTACTGCACATTCATGAGACAACTGAAGTACAACAAACTTTTAATGGGTACTGTGGCTACTGGCTAGGTTTGACTTAAATAATTTTGTCACATATTTATATTCTTTATCTTAGACAAAGATGCAGACCCTAAATGGTATAGTTTGGCCAGAAATTGCCAGAATGGCTACAGAGGAGATCAGACAATATGGCACAGGTTAGTTTTTCTTTCTGGGCATTAAAAAATATATATTTTAATTTGTGAGAAAAATAATCATCATATATCATTTCTTTTAGTAAAATTTCTTTTAGAAATCCTGAATTACACTTAAAAAGTACCAAATGTGTGAAACACTTTGAGAGAAGTCAAATCATTTTAAGGGAGGGGGATATAGGCATGGGGGCATGCATTATCAGTATGTTTAAATACATTTAAAATCCATAAGCTCTCAAAATTTTCTTGAATTAGAATCCAGAGTGTTAATGAATAAATAAGCATGACTTAAATATTGCTTTATTGATAGCATACCATGTATGTTAGAATTTTTTCTTTACATTCACTTTCGTAGAGGGTAAGACAATTGTGGTATTAGAGGCAGCCATTCTACTAAAGGCAGGCTGGGAAGACATGTGTCATGAAGTTTGGGGGTGTGTCATTCCTGTGGGAGAGGTACAGAATTCAGAAATACTTTTGAATTTGTCTGAAAAATCTTTTTTACAGTAAAACATGCTTATGACAAACATGCATACCAATTGCAGGCCAATTGTGAAATGGAATTTTTTTCTCAAGTAAAAAGAAACCAAAAAATTCTGATTATATAAAATGAATTTGTTTCTTAAAGAAATGTTTGCAACTGGGATGTGGGATTCACTATAACCATGTTTTGCTATATGTATATAGATACCATGAAACTTACCTAAACTGCATGATGTATATTCTGAAATCTTGTCTATTACAGTGTAACTTTTAAATCCATTTGTTTAAAATGTTATATAATAATCTAGAATGCTGTCTAATCTGGCCAATTTCTATGGAACCAGTGTCTAGATTAGAAAAGTTTTTCTGTACATGTGTACGCATGTATACACCATTATTCATGCCCTGTGTTATAACTGTAGGCTGTGAAAAGACTGGAGGAGAGGAATCACTTATCTGAGGAGGAGGCCCTGAAAAGAATAAAACTGGGAGTGTCTAACGAGGAACTCGTCAAAAAATGTAACGTCATCCTGTGTTCTCAGTGGGAATATGAGTACACTCAACAACAGGTGAGTAGAGCTTGTCAAGAAATGTAACCTCATCCTGTGTTCACAGTGGGCTTAACAACACTTGAGATGTGACTTGTCCATATAAATTCCTCATAATTTATGTAACAACAAACAACAGATGAGCTGTATCACATCTTCTGTGTAAGCAACTAACCTCAGGCATTGAAATTACAAATGTGTACATAAAACAAGACCCTAAAATGCAAAGATACAAAGTAATATGTATAGTTAATGTCGATATTGTAAATTCTTGCTTGAAGAACTGAATATTTTTTCATCAAGCATGACAGTCTATTGGAAATAATGAATGATTTAACTACTGTATCAGTTGAACTTCAGTATCTCGAACCCTATATCTCAAATACAATGGATGTGTTGAAGTGATCTGGAAGTCACAGTCACATATTCCTTAAGTATTTTACCCTCGATATCTCAAAGTTTTTTTCTTGGTCCCATCAAGTTCGAGAAAACGAGTTTGACTGTAGATATAACAGGTTAAAAGTATAAAATAATTTCAGCTGTTGCTGGCGATGCCTTAAACCCATATTTTTCTTGGATATATAGTGTGCAGTATTCATGAACATGTTTTTCCTGCACTTCACTGTGTATATTTCCTTCATTTTAGGTTGAAAAAGCATGGCATCTTCTTCATGAGAGACTTCCATCTCCTGTCAAGTCACAGTACTGAAGTGATTCCACTGACTTACATAGGAAAAAAGTTATTCAGAGTGAATCATCTCTACTGACAATAATTCCCCAGATCTTATAACTAGCATTAACTACAAATCAGAATGGATTGCAGTTCACAATCAGTGTTAGCCAAATATTGATTCAGTGATTTAATTTGGTGAGGAAAGTTGAACATTAATGAAATTAAGGCAGTATTCAGATAATTGTGTATGTTGTAGTATGTGCTGTGTTAAATTAGAAAATTCTGCTCAAGGAGTAAACCCTAGTAAGGGGAGATAACTCTGTTAGGGAGACTGAGGTTAGTGTGCTAAGGGAGATAACTTGCTAAATCACTATGATTTGTTTTTTTTCCCCCAAAATTTTCTCAATTACTTTGTATAACTTATAGCATATTTCATTTCTTGAGTATAATTTCATCTTTATTTTATTGTTAGAAAACTGTCATATGCCAAATTCTATTTTGTAAGCAGATTAATTATCCCTTTTAACAGCAGTAACTGAGATTTATAAACATAACTGTATGAGAATTTTTTTAAAATTGTTAAAGCACTGTCCTCTTCTAATTGGCAATGAAAAAAATAAATGAATAACAAGAAAAATGAGTAACCTTTGAGCTACAAATCAGCAGTATTTGAGTGGATTAATTTTATTTAAATTTGATAAATATATAGATTATACTGAATATACAACATTAAAACAAATGATAAAATTAATTCTTTTCTTTTGTCAATCTTTTTTTTTCTATCCCCCCTGCTGGAATAGAAATCCCCAATTTGTGCCTAGTAGACATAGAAGTACATATCATATTTTGCTTGCCCAATAGAATGCCAATATAATTTCGGCAAAACTTTTATTCATTTGGTGGACACCGAGTTCCAGGGCATCCCAAGCCAGTGGCATAATTTTATACCATTTACAAGAAGAGTGCTTCAGGTACCTTAGATATGTATAGAACACTCAAAACAATTATTTTATATCAAAAAAGATCATGAATTGCTATTATAATGAGTTCAATGCAGATTCTAAAACCAGTAGAGGAAGTTTTAAAATGATCCAAGATATCTTTTTTGTGATTATATGGTACGTATACGCAATGGTGCAAATTTAGCGATTTAAATTTTTGTGGGCTACTCTGCTAAAATTAGTCAAAGTTAGCACCCCTCTAAAACTTCCTTGCTTTACAGTAAATCTTCCTAAAAAATGCTTATAATTTGACCATGTATTCATTATCTTTGGAAAGTATGATCTAAAATTTGTGTTTCATTCTCGACATGCTCAAATTTTTACATGTACGTAAATTAAATATTCACTTTCACACATTAATTTATGAAGGATATTTTTATCAATTTTCTTTAAATGAAACAGATATTATCCTTTGGCAGGTTAATGCATATTAAGTACCTTTACTATAACAATCCATCACCAGAATCGCTTTATACCAATACTGTAGACATATATTTTTCTGCGTGGAATTAATTTACACTACTTAAGCCGTCAAAAGTTTTCCTTCAAAATTTACCACAACATATACTGTAAGTTCATTTAAGGCATATAATAGCAATCCAAGAAATCTGCATTATTTTCAACCTGTGAATTGAACAGAAATTGTGATAAGTACGCAGAATTATGACCCCGCAGAAAAAAATACGTTTACAGTTTCAAATTCCTAATTCAACTTTTTCCAAGTGAAAAATCAAGTTTAATTTTACAATTTTATTGACATTTTTATACTTTCCTTGAAGAAATTAATCTTAATATGGCAGAATAATCTGTGAAATACCAAAGCATTGAAACATTTTATAATCTTTTTATAGTTTCAAATCACAACTGCTAAATCTGGAGTATCTTCACTTGACAGATGATGTAATAAAAAGAACGACTTTATAATATTGTCTTTTAACATCAGTCCAGTAATCATTAAAGTAGCTTCCTGCTGTTTAGTACCATCCACTATTTACGCATTCACAACTATTTACTCATTCACGTCATACATTTCCTGTAAAAAATTATACACCATTCCTCTGTCAGCTCTCTGCGTTCAGTCTAGAGGTGTGATCAAGTGTAGAACATTTACAGTAACAGCCCGTAACAGGACATTCAGAATGCTCCGCAAACCACTCCCATAAATGAGAGGCGTGGCCTCCATGGCGACATGATTGACACCACATGAACCAATCATCAATGGCCGTCATTTTAGATGCATATGCTGAAAGAAATTGAAGAAAATACAAATTTCAATTTTTTGAAGCATAGTTACCTAGTTTTATTGCAATTGGATTAAAAACTTTAGAAGGTGTACCTATGAAACCTACTTGTTTTATCTTTCTGTGTATAAAGAGCCGATCCAGAGGGAGTCCCAAGATGCATCAGGCACAGGGAGCAACGAGGGAGGGGCTTCCTACACCCTGGACAGCAGGAAACCTACAAATAAAAGAATTAACCATTCATTACACAAAATGGAGAACCTATGGACATAAACAAATAAAACCTTCTGTACAGTATGATCAATGATTGGATTAATATTTGGTCAATTTACGAATCAAGTTATCTACAGAAACTGATTTATTTTTGTAGGGAAAGGGGGAAAACCATAAAATTGGAACTCGGAAAAAAATAAAACAAGAATAAAAGTTAAAAAAAAAAATTAATTTCTTCTTTATATTGTAAAAGGAAAGGAGAAAATGTATGGTTGGACTGGGAATCGAACCTGGGACCCCTGCATTAGATGCTCTACCAACTGAGCAACCCAGGCCAATATCCATGGCCCAAACCATTACAATATGATACTGACATTCAGTAAATTCACATTATACACCATACATACATCCCCCTACCTTTGGTTTAGTGGAGGTCAGCGTTCCTGCTGAGTACGAGTTGTACGGGCGAGCTCGACTGGCCACAGGCATGTTACAGGCAATGGATTTACCACAAAAGTTACAGCTAACAAAGGCCTGAGATGTTACCCGGAAGTTATCACTGGTGTGCCAGATGATGTCAAACTTGGATCTGTACAAAAACAATCAAGTAAGCAAGGGTTGCTCGACAACAATCTTAAAATCATTTTTTTTTCAAATTTAATAATAATACAGTGAAACCTTGTTATCTCAAACTCAGTGGGACCAAGAAAAAATTTTGAGATATCCTTGTATTCGAGATATCCAAGGTAAAATACTTAAAGAATAAGGGGTTGGGACTTCCAAATCATTTCGACATATCCATGGTATTCGAGATATCAGTGTTCGAGATATCGAAGTTCAACTGTATTTGCAAAAAAGACAAAAGATATCTATTGAAACAAAGATGACAACTACACTTTCAAAGGCTGTAAAAAATTGATAAAAGGTCCATGTAAAAATTTTCCACAATATTGTATACACATATTTCTATTGACCAGTATTTACCTGTGATGCCAAAGTCTCCATCTATCTAACAGTTCTCTATACCTTTAAAAGAAAAAAAAATAAACTGTAACATTATGTTTAAGAATAGTTATTAAATACACTGTACATGAATATGCTAATGATATCATCAATGATGATAAACATATCATGATATCATCACTGATGAAAAATGTAGTAATTAAATCACCCTAAATGAACAATTTTTTTGTGTAATTTAGGCAGACTGAAACATAACAACATGAAATCATTAATCCATGGATACTATAATTGCAAAGGATGGCAAATTTCTGTCAAAAGGGAATGAATCCAATATTTAAGGGGAAATACCCCATTCATGACCAGAGGACTTTTCTCCCCTAAATTAATTGACTAATATATTACAAATGTATGTAGTACTTACGATTCAATCCAGTTTAAAACTCTTTCGTCTTTAGACATTTCATTTGGGAGGGAGAAAACACAGACCAGAGCAGCTGTTTGTACATCTCCAGTCAAGTCCACGTACTTAGAAATCAGAGAGACCCCATCCTGTGTTAAACCTACAAAGGATATTACTGCACTCTTCAGAAGTCAGAAAAGATGTCCTGCGCTAAATTTTTTTAAAATTAGAAACTCCTATATGAATTAGATAAGATCCCCTTACATCTCAGAAATGAGATTCCATAATATATTACACCAGACATCAGGTCGGGTGTTTAAACAGAATACAGTCAAAATCGTAAAACATCGGAGGCATCCCACACAGCATTAAATCTGCACTTACAATATTATTACACTAAGGGACAGGAAAAGCTAGAATATTCTCAATTATCCTTAGAAAAAATCTCAAGTAGAAATTCTTTTCAGGCATAAGGAGTGCTTTAAAATTAACATCCGTTTATAAATGTTACTATTATTAGAAACACAAACCCGTGATAAGTAAACCGTCTAAATTTCCAGACTCTATAACTTTCCTTGTCAGTCTGTTGATGTACTCTTTCAGCTAAGAAAAATAAGTAATGTTACTTAATTGATTACTAATTGAGAATAACCTGATTTTGTACATATACATGTATATTTCATTTCTTGACATATAATTACATTGTATATTTGTATACTGTAGGTCACCAAAGTTTTACGACAACTTGGGATATGTATTTGGTATTTATAAGAGAGACAAAATTTTAATGAATTCTGGGTATTGTTGTATATAATCTTTAATTGTTAATAAAAATATACGTGAGAATGAAATTTTCGAGAGACTTCATCTAACATAATTACGCAAAAATAAAATTCTCATGAATAAAAATTGATTTACAGTACATTATTCAAAAAAAAATTTAAATTTAGACAATTATGACTTTTAATTCATTAAGAAATAATACTTTTCTTTGTATGTGGAGTTTTTAAAATAATTTATTCATACACACAATTAATTCTTGAGGAAAGTTTATGTTGTTACCCTATCATCGTCCAGATAAATACAGGCAAAGGCAATCTTGTCTGATAGCTGCATGCCACCTTGGTCTGTCTGTGTAAAATATACAGAGATCAAAATTACTTAAATACAAAGATTAAATTACCTAAACATATATATAAAATTCACTACCCAGTAAATATAGTTACAGAAAAATTACTCAAACATACAGATAACATAACCCCAAAATACAGATACAATTGCCCAAATGTATAGATAAAATTACCTATCAGTAAATACAAAGATAAAGTTAGATAAGTATAAAAATAAAATTGCCTAAATTAATCTATAGATAAAATTACTTAACTTGTAGAACAAAAACTTGTTCAAAAATCGGAACATATATAAACTGATTACATATGTTAGAGTACAATATCATGTATAATCATGATAATAGAAAATAATTTCATGGTTCTGAAATGAATGAACTAAGAAAATGTATCCATGCTAGATACTCTCATTTGTCCCCATTCATTTACTAAAATATTAAGCTAGTAATTGAGAATCTATGTAAAGAAATTCATCCAGCAATTCTGAAAAAAATTAAGAAAGAAAAAAAACCCATTTCATGATAATAATTGAGATGAAAGTTGCTTACTTGCCATTTCAAAGGAAAGTTAGAACCAACTGAAGAAAACCAGAATAAGATTTTTTTTTTTTTCCTAAAATCTCACTCTTATTCATATGATATTTTTTGTAAAATAAGTTAATGTTTTCCTCTAGAATAATTTACATGCATTTACATATATGAGTGAATTTAAATTCAGAGAAATAGTTAGGCTCTTCTCTAAGTCACTGAATTAAAAACATCAATTTTAATTTTTCTTTTTTTAAAGTAGTTTTAATGGTTATATATATTAAACAATTTTTTTGAATTTATAAACCATTACAATATTATGAGTATAATTTGATGGCATTCTATTTTTTTCTCTTCTTTTTAACATGTTCATTGAACTCATTTATAAAATTGCATCATTTTATTTTAAATAGTTTCACAACCATTTGATCATTACTAACAAATCTGAATTTTTCTTTCGAATTTCAATTTCTCTCAAAAGAGTTCTGTAATCAATGCAATCTACTGTAGCTACTACTGTATTTTTAAAATAATACTTTAAAATAAAATGTTAATGACCTCAAGTACATTTTAAAAGCTGAACAAAAAAGAATCAAGATTAAAAAAAGAAGAAAAATATGTTGATAATTAAGTCTTAAGCATAGCGCAGCATAAAATATTCAGCTACATTGTGTACTGTTTGTGCAACAAACCTTCTTCCATCCATGTTTCTACAGATATGAAGATTAAACAAGACTGTAATTCACTGCAGATACATCAACTTTCCAAAAACAATTATCACAAGTTGAACTTCCATCATTATCAACATCAATTAGCTCAAATACCAGGGTTATGTCAAAGTGATTTGGCAGTCCCAAAGTCTTTTTCTTTACTTTTTTAAAAAAACCTTTAACCTTTGTAATCTCAAAGCTTCAGAAATCTTGGAGATTAATCTCGGTCCCTTTGAGTTCAAGAAAATTAGGTTTGACTGTATTTCAAAATATTAGACATATACTATTCCTGTTTGTATTTTGTGTACAGAATAAAATTCTGACCTAATTGTTAGAAATGTGTTGCATGATATCTTGAAAACATTCTTTTTTTTTGGTAATCATATTTTTGCACTTTTTGTAGTGCTTCTTGATTGGTAATTGATATACATGTACACTGTAAACTATATACACAGTATATAATTATGATTAAAACTTATATATCTCTAAAGACTTGTAAAAACCTACGTATCAGCATATTAAGTTTGATAAAAATATTTTGAATGGTTTATTTAAAACTGAGCTAAACACAAATTTAAAATAAATGAAGTTAAGGTCAAAGGAAAGGTCAAGGTCAAAAAATGTTGATGCAGTTATAAAAATATTATGAATGGTTTCTTTAAAACTGAGTTAAACACAAATTGATAAAAGTGAGGTCAAGGTCAAATGAAAGGTCAAGATAAAAAATGTTGATGCAGTTGAATAGCTCTCATCAGTATGTATCAGCACATGAAGTTTGATAAAAATATCTTGAATGGTTTCTTGAAAACTGAGCTAAACACTAATTTAAGAAAAGTGAGGTCAAGGTCAAAGGAAAGGCAAGGTCAAAAAATGTTGATGCAGTTGAATAGCTCTCTTCAGTATATAACAACGTATGAAGTTTGATTACACTATCTTGAATGGTATCTTTAAAGCTGAGCTAAACACTAATTTAGGGTAAATGAGGTCAAGGTCAAAGGAAAGGTCAAGGTAAAAAATGTTGATGCATTTGCATAGCTCTCTCATCAATATCTATCAGTATAAGAAGTTTGATGAAAATATCTTGGATAGTTTCTTTGAAACTGAGCTTTGAACTGAGCTAAATGCAAGGAAATAAATGCAAGGAAGGACAGACGGAAGGATGGAAGGACGGAAGACGGACATGACAAACACTATATGCCCCGGCCATATTCATAGCGGGGCATAATAAATATTTGTAATGAAAATAAAAACAACTGATAGTTTTTAAACAACAGTGGAATCATTTAAATTATAATGGTTTGATGGATCAATATTTATGAATTCTGTGGGCCCCCCTTACCCACAAATTTACAAGATCAAAAAATATTGGAATTATTAAAGGTTATGTCTTGTTTCACAAGACGTTGGAATAAGAATCAATTTCCCTATTAACCTGAATATTTTTTGACAATCCATAAATTAAAATGATTTCACATATCATAAACCTTATAAGTAACAATTAATACATATGAAAATAATCTCTCTCTATCAAAAATGATGATTTTTGAGGAATAATTTTTGCTTCTAATAACAGACTGGATCAGAGGAACAAAATTATGGAAAGCCTTCAAATCTACATGTAAGTAGAGGGGTCTAGCTGAAAAAGAGTTCATTTGAAATATAAGTGAGAACTGGGAATACATTAAAAGTGCTTAAAAATATATAGATTTTTTTTTTTACAGAATTCTTACCAGAATTTCTTCATAGTTTTCCCGTTCCGAGGTCAGAAAAGCAAACATGGCTCTGAGGTACGGGTCCTCTAGCTTCTGTAGGAGGGACATACACGTCTTCCTCCATAGGGTATTTCTTTCGTCTGTGTACCCCGCAATCGCCATGGCAACAGTGCTTAAATCTGTACTCTCTGTTTGGGTATACAGAGAATTAGATCCTCGGCTTACATATCAAATGCTTCATATTTGTGTTATGTTTTATGGAACTAAATGTACAAGGCCATGATTAGACAATTGAGAGTCAAAAAAAAATTTGATAATTCTGACCTTGACCTTTGGAGCTGCTGGTACTAAGTATCTCTATTGCTTTGGAGATTTGAAGATTGAAGAGGGCCATAGCAGCTGCTACTGAGTATTTTCCATCCATTTGTAGTCTGTAAGAATGTATAACATTTACAGAGGTTGTTCATTATTGCTACAGATATGTATATCGGTAGAGCTCTCAGTGTTCCAAAATACTTATCTTAAAAAGTTGATAATTTCTAATCTTTGCACAATACCTTAATCACACTACATATAAAATAAAGTCTACCAGAAAGATATAGCATACTCATGTAAAATAGTATCTAATTGTTCAGGCTTCTGCTTATCAGCACCCCAGCCACACAACTGTAGAGCTTTGGTCCTGCAAAGATGATTGGTCAAAATTACTCTTTCTCATTCGTTCATAGTAAACAATAATTCCAGAAGTCTAAGTGTGAGATCAAGATATACATGAAGTACATAAAAAAAATACTGATAAATTAACACTCATTTGTTTTCCAAATATTACATGGCCATAGTTTACAATAAATTTGAATACATTAATAGACAAACACTGCAGTGAAACTTTACTTAGTAACTTGCCTTTCAGCGCTGTGATACTGCCGTACACAGGACAATTTCCGCGAGAATTCTGCTGCCCAATACATATTGGTCATCTGAGAGCCAGGTATGTCCTCGCTATCCAATCTCAAAATGCTTTTTATTCCTAAGTGTTTACCCAGAATGCCTCTCTGACCATGTCTTGTATATTCTAGCATTTCTCGAGCATCTGGTTTGAAGACGAGAAAAAACTATTTTTAGATCAAATTAAAATAACTACATATGTACATGACATTGTATGGTTTTCAAATTATTTTTCAAAATTGATTTTAATATTTGCAATAATACTTGTCAAGCAAACATTTGTACAGTTAACATGTTTAGTTTGATACAATCTAATGAAAATTAGATCTTTGATCTTAGTCTTTAATTTGATTCTGAAAGTGTTAGATCCTTTCAGACTCAAACTTTGAAGCAAAGAATGAGCTGAAAGATATAGTGTAATTTTAATTAAACTGAGTTAGATATTACATCTACTTGATTTTTAGATTGCAGGTTTTGATAATTTATTATAAACTCACAGGACAGCCACCTCCACACTCCAAACAAATCTGGTTCATCTTTCACTGCGAAAACATTGTGCCAGATATGGTCAGACTGCAAACGAACAATACATGTAGCTCAATGTCATTTCTGAGAGACAATGAAAAATTAAAAAAGAAACATACGCTTGGCAGCAAGCTTGGACAGATTTCAAGTTCTACATGTTTCCTGGTGTCAAACAGCAAAATAAAGAATTACATGTAAATATCATCTAACATTCACACATAAAAAGAAATTTCCAAATAGTCATACTACAGTCAAACATTGCTATCTCAAACTCCATCAGGCCAAGAAAAAAGTTCAAGATATCAGAGGATTAGAAATATCAAAGTTAATTACATAAAAAATAAGTGGGTGGGACTTCCAACTCAACTTTCACATATCCATGGTATTTGGGATACATTGTATTATTGGTTTTCGAGGTACTAAAGTTTTACTGTATATAAAATTGGAGGCAGAGAGTTGGCATTACCCTCGGGGATATTTTACCTGTAGCCCGTAACCCTGGATGATCCGCTCCTTCATTTTTACAGATATATCTAGATGTCCACTCTCCTCTCGGTTCAGGGAATTGTCACTCAGTATCTTACCATGTGCCATGACTAGATGAGAATCAGCTGACCAGTTCTGAAATTAACACAGGTGAAAATCAGCTGACCAGTTCTGAAAATAACCCAGGTGAGAATCAGCTGACCAGTTCTGAAATTAACACAGGTGAGAATCAGCTGACCAGTTCTGAAATTAACACAGGTGAAAATCAGCTGATGATTTCTGAAAATAACACAGGTGAAAATCAGCTGACCAGTTCTGAAATTAACACAGGTGAAAATCAGCTGACCAGTTCTGAAATTAACACAGGTGAGAATCAGGTGATGAGTTCTAAAATTAACACTGGTGAGAATCAGCTGACTAGTTCTGAAATTGAACCAAGCATATGAGAAATCAATTTCAGACTGACATTTTACATACACAAGACATAACAAATCAAGAACATTAACTTTAATTATTCTATCACTATCATTTCTGCTGAAAGAATGCACACAGGCAAATTTTTGTGTGTTTCATATGAAATTTTTTCCTTTGAGATTCACTTGAAATGAGCATGTAGCATCATCAAAGTTCTTGTATGTGAATTTCACATGAAAAGATTATTTTAGGGAAATTCATGCGATAATTTAGTTCCAATTTTTATGTGTAGTAATTAATGTAAGATTAATTCAGGGAATCTGAAGTCCAATCAATTTGTTTTATATTTATCTTAACACTTTCTAGAGCCACGTACTTTTCTTTTTTTATTTAAATTCTTTTATTTAAAACCTCATATACATGTACATGTATGTATAAAACCATGTTTTCTTTAACTTGGGCCTTTTCCCTCTTTCACGTAGCCATTGAGCAGATTTCTTATCTCTACATTCCTACATGTATTTTATTCCCTGGCCATAAGTATTACCTTATTTTATTTTGTTTCATGCTATCCACAAAAATAAATTTATGTCCTATTCATCTTTTACCTTTTCATTTTGAAGCTTGATAGAGTCTGATATACTGAGAGAAAAGAACCTGGGTTGATGAAGAACACTGCCCTTATACTACACATTGTATAAACATCCTTTTCATGTGAACATTGAAGAAGCCAGACACATTTGCCTGTTAAATTCTCTCCATGATTTACCACTTACAAAAGGAATGTGTTCGTGCATGACAATATCCCTCAGGGAGCCTTGTTGCATGATACTTACAAAAGGAATGTGTTCGTGCACAACAATATCCCTGAGAGTGCCTTGTTGGGTGATGGTCAGCAATCGGCTGTCGTGCTTCGGGTGCCAAGAAAATGATGTTACCACTTGAGTATTCAAAACTGAAAAGATTAACATTCAAGATTACTTTTTTCCCCAAAAAAATTTGTGAACAATTTAACATCCATCAGTAAGCTTCCTTGAACAAAGTGTTATCAAAAAGAATAAGAACCTATGATCAAAATAGATCTTGAAAATCAAAAAACCTTGCCAACAGTTTTTTTCTTCTTGAAAAGGAAAATTTATTGATCATTAAATTATTCAGAACTGACATGAACCAGATATCATTATTAATATGGTGCCAATCTAAAAGGGTCCCACTTTTAGAGAGAAAATATGCCCTGGACAATGATTTTAATACATAGATCTGCTAAGACCTTGACCTTTGATCTAGAAAACTTTATCCAAAGGCACTCTACAGATGAAGTATGATTCCAATAGGGTCAAATGAAGAGTAAATATGATGTGAAGAAGAATTTTTGTCTGGAAATTATTTAAACCTTGACCTTTGATCAAGAAAATTATGTTTGAGGTCACTGCACATTCTCAACAAGTACCCTAAGGTTGAAGTATGAGCTAAACTGGGCCAAGGGGAGAGAAAACATGCTCACAACAAGGATTTCATGCACATACTGTAAACCAACTTTTATTTGCATGCGAGAAATATTCGTGAGTTTCGCTACCTACTTTAACTCACGAATATTAATCGCCGCAAACCATTTATTTTGCTTTGTAATCGTAGAGAGTGTTTCCTCAGTCATGAAAATTAATCATCGCAGATTCATTTTGAACTTAAGAATCGCCAATAAAAGTTGACTCAAATAATAGTTGGTTTACAGTCTCTGCTTTGTTTAAGGTAACTGCACACCCTTAACCCAAAGCCTTGAGCGAAGTATGAGTCAGATAGGAAAATATGCTTTAGACAAGGATTTTAAACAGACTTTTTTCACTTTGATTTTTGATAAAAAAAAAATTAACTTAAGTCCCTGCACACTCCCTACCAACAAGCACACTAAATGTGAAGTATGAGCAAGAATGGGCCATAGAAATTTACAAAGAGATTTTTTTTAACATTTACTTTAATTTTGATCAACAAAATCAGTTCAAGGTCACTGCACACTCAAAACCATAAGCACTCGATGGGTAAAGGAAGAGCTAGATTAGGACATGGGGAAAAACATGTGCTCACAAAGATTTACAAAGATATCTGCTTTGACCTTGACCTTGAAACTTGGTTTAAAGTCATTGAACACTCTTAATCTATCGACGCTCTGTATGGAAAGTAAGAGCAAGATACTGCCAAGAGGAAAGAAAATATGCTCTGGACAAGGATTTTATGGAGATTTGCTGTGACCATGAACTTTGACCTAGAAATTTAATTCAAGGTCATTGCACACCCTCTTTCCTTAGGCATTCTATGGGTGAAGTATGATTACGTTTGGCCCAAGGGAAGACAATACATGCTACAGACAAGGATTTAACACAGATGTGTTTTTTTTTTAAGTTGACCTTTGACCTAGAAACTTGGTTCAAGGTCACTGCACATCCTCTCCCATGGGCACTCTATGGGTGAAGAGCCAGAGTGAGTCATGGAGAGAGAAAATATAACCTGAACAAATATTGAACAGACGGACGAATAGACAGACTGATCACTAAAGGGCACCAGCAAGGGGGGGGGGGGGGGGGGGCTAACTACACTGCTGGCCAAACCCTTCAACTTCAAAATAAAAGGATTAAAAAATCAGCATTATTAACAAACCTTTAATTGTTCTTTCACTGTAATACTGATCTAGTTCCTCAGATCCCACTGGTAATGAAAAGAAAAATTAATTAATGTAAAGCATTCATGTTAATCTAGCTTTATCCTCTCTTCTTATAACTTATAGCAAAAGTGGTAGAAATTGGAAATTTGTTTCAGTACAGAATTTTATGAAATGGCTAGTATATTATATACATGTATAATAACTAGTTCTGTGATATTGAAAGAGATGAAGAAATCAATTTCCATTTCCATTAAAATTTAAATGATCAGATGATGGTAAAGAGTGGAATCATAATTCTATTTAATTCTAAAAAATTTTCAAATCTATTATCAAGGCTCAAGGTTATGCCAGCTTCCACATATGCAAATTTTGCAGGCTTCCCGAGAAATAAAATTTCATTCAATACAAGCAAAATGCTCTGTGTTTGTTTCAAATTTTTAAAATTTTTTGATTCAAAAAGTTAATATCCATAAAACTGTTTAATTTAAAAAAAAAAAAAAACAGAGAATTTCTCCATCCAATTATTCTGACTTCAAGGATTAGGAAATATGAAAAATTAATTTGCTAATTATAATTCTATAAATACCTCTTCTATACTTTTAACGTACATGTACCATTTCAAAACATTAATATTGTTTATTTGTTTTTTTTTTTTTTTTTGATGAATGAAAATCCAAACATTCCAATGAACACAAATGAAAAACAAGAAATGGAAAAGCTGTATTATTATAACTTCTCATAGAAGCAGAAAAGTCCAAATTCTTTAATCACACCATGCTCATCAAAACACCATAAAACAATGGCATATTTGAACTATCAATAAGATATTAATTAATGCAAATTGCATGTACTTGTACCTTGAATTTCTGGAATAAAATACCAAAAAAAAAAGAAGTTTTAAATAACTGATAGGAGATGTCCAGTAGTTGAGTGGAAAATTAAATAAATCATCTTGTATTTCATTGTCATCCTCAAAAATAACCTAATTCCTAATCTGCATATGCATCTTATTCAAGCAATTCCTAATCTACATGTAATCAAGCAATTCATCTTTAAATGTCATCTTTTAACTTTCCCTATATCAATTACAATTGTACATGTAAAGAAGCTCCAATCATGAAATAAAATTACTCGCTTTAATATTCATGGTGCTGAAATCCATATAAAATCTAATGATCAACCGCCCACTCGCGATTTAATATTCTCGTGATTTGACGTCTAAGAGTCATTTCTTGATATTAAGTACTCGCATAAAATAAGGAATCTACAGTAGTACACGACTGATGTAATAAATAAAATCAAACCAGGATTCCCTCTCAAATATAAGCATATACACATTGTACACTTAAACTGAATCAGGAGTTTAAACATAAATTTGACATACATGTAGCTTATTTTGTAAAAATTACTTGTGTGCAAAAATAAATATAGAATGATTTAAGGCTAAATTGAATACATAATGAATTCATTTGCCATTTTTTCTCTGTATAGACACAATTGCATAAACACCTTAATTTCACTTTATGACAGTGTTTACCTGTTTGATGTAGATGACAGTGTGTTACCTGTTTAATGTAGATGACAGTGTGTTACCTGTTTGATGTAGATGACAGTGTGTTACCTGTTTAATGTAGATGACAGTGTGTTACCTGTTTGATGTAGATGACAGTGTGTTACCTGTTTGAGGTAGATGACAGTGTGTTACCTGTTTGTTGTAGATGACAGTGTGTTACCTGTTTGTTGTAGATGACAGTGTGTTACCTGTTTAATGTAGATGACAGTGTTTACCTGTTTAATGTAGATGACAGTGTGTTACCTGTTTAATGTAGATGACAGTGTTTACCTGTTTGATGTAGATGACAGTGTGTTACCTGTTTAATGTAGATGACAGTGTTTACCTGTTTGATGTAGATGACAGTGTGTTACCTGTTTAATGTAGATGACAGTGTTTACCTGTTTGATGTAGATGACAGTGTGTTACCTGTTTAATGTAGATGTCAGTGTTTACCTGTTTGATGTAGATGACAGTGTGTTACCTGTTTGAGGTAGATGACAGTGTGTTACCTGTTTGTTGTAGATGACAGTGTGTTACCTGTTTGATGTAGATGACAGTGTGTTACCTGTTTGTGGTAGATGACAGAGTGTTACCTGTTTGTTGTAGATGACAGTGTGTTACCTGTTTGTGGTAGATGACAGTGTGTTACCTGTTTGTGGTAGATGATAGAGTGTTACCTGTTTGATGTAGATGACAGTGTGTTACCTGTTTGATGTAGATGACAGTGTGTTACCTGTTTGAGGTAGATGCAGAATGTCGTATATTTTAACTGTCAGGCTGTCTTGACTTAGAATTCCCAGGTAGCCTTTTCTGAAAATAATTAATAACATAACTGTTATGTATATATTATAATGTCTGTAGTGATACTGTTCAAGTGCACATTGCAGTGGTAGTGTTCATGTTTACACTGCATGTAGTGCCTCAGTTGCAAAGTAGTATTATTTTCAAAATTCCATAATAATGATCAACCATTATGGACATTTCCTAATTTACAGTTAAGATGTAATTATACACTTATCTAGTATTCAAAGTCTAAATGCAACTGTTTCCCCATTTAATCTTTATACAACCTTTTCATTTTCCCTTAGCAATTTAATTCCAACACCCTTGCAAGATGAAAGATAAAATGATTTTCTTTCATTTTGCAGTGAAGTTACCTTATTATTACCTGTTGTGACACCATCGCATAGAAGAGACAGCATTTGTGACATTATTGCACTTACCTGGAGAGCCACCATCATATTGAGGAAACAGCTTTGTGACCTTATTGCACTTACTTGGTGGGACACCATCATATAGAAGAGACAGTTTTGTCATCTTATTGCACTTACCTGGTGGGACACCATCATACAGAAGAGACAGCTTTGTCACCTTATTGCACTTACCTGGAGAGACACCATCATATAGAAAGAATGCTTTGTGACCTTACTGCACTTACATGTACCTGGTCGGACACCATCATACAGAAGAGACAGCTTTGTCACCTTATTGTACTTAACTGGTGGGACACCATCATACAGAAGAGACAGCTTTGTCACCTTATTGTACTTAACTGGTGGGGCACCATCATACAGAAGAGACAGCTTAGTGACCTTATTGTACTTAACTGGTGGGACACCATTCAATATAAGAGACAGCTTTGTCACCTTATTGTACTTAACTGGTGGGACACCATCATACAGAAGAGACAGCTTTGTCACCTTATTGAAGTTAACTGGTGGGACACCATCATACAGAAGAGACAGCTTTGTCACCTTATTGTACTTAACTGGTGGGACACCATCATACAGAAGAGACAGCTTTGTCACCTTATTGTACTTAACTGGCGGGGCACCGTCATATAGAAGAGACAGCTTAGTGACCTTATTGTACTTACCTGGTGGGACATCATTCTATATAAGAGACAGCTTTGTCACCTTATTGTACTTAACTGGTGGGGCACCGTCATATAGAAGAGACAGCTTAGTGACCTTATTGCACTTACCTGGTGGGACACCATTCAATATAAGATACAGCTTTGTCACCTTATTGTACTTAACTGGTTGGGCACCGTCATATAGGAGAGACAGCTTTGTGACCTTATTGTACTAACTAGAGGTGTAACGATACAGCAATACATTGATTGTATTGATCGCAAGGGCTCATGATACCCATATCGTATCGCCATGTATGTATTGTGATACAGTACAAGATAATTTTCATTGTTTTGTTTGAAAATTCTACATACAAGCCCATAATTAAAATATTGTTGGTTTTGCGTTGCTGACTTAGTCTTTAAACGTTTGGGTCAGTAGGTTGGGAAAATATTTTTTTTATTTAAATTTCAGAAATGGTACATGTTGTTAGTATCCGAATGCCATGGGTTTCCGATAGTTTAACAACAACCACCGTCAGAATTGATTCTCAGTTTTGTCATTGATTTTCAAACCCTATTAGTTTTAAACCTTTAATATACATAGTATTAAAAATCACTGACATTAAATTAGTGTAAATTCGAATCGACTGCACGAATCCAAGCATGGCAGCTAGACTAGCAAATTGGACAGGACATTGTACCGTGAAATTTCTATTTCAAACTGGTATATCTTATTCATCAGTTTACTTTAAAAACCACATTACCACAGAGAGTCATGCCATCAACTTCTGTTATACCGAGTTTACATTTTACCACTTTCGACAGCCATGCTTGGATTCATGATATGCTTTTATTCAACATGATTATCGCATAAATGCTCATTTGCTTATAAATGAAAACTGATCAATCAAGCGTTTACATGATTCTTTCCCATTCTGTATATATTACGCAAACATACATATACAAGCACTTAAATCTGGATGAATATAACGAAATAAAAATTATGATCAGTATCTGTTGAAAAAATTCTTCGGACCGCACCGATTTATGTGAGTTGGCCGGCAACGCCAAACAAAGCTAATTTTATTTTTGGCCAAACCTAAGAAATTTTAACGTTTTAAAGTAGCTGAAAAAAAAGTAGCAAAGAAAAATACAATGTCTAGAGTATAAATCCATTTTATTAACTTTGGCCAGGAGTATCAAGATATTCTTTTTATATTTTCTATAATTGTTGAGAATAGCAAAGAATAATATGTTAAGATAACGGTTAATTCAATTGTTGACAGTTGTATCATGATACATGTTGTATTGCATGACTGTATCATGATACATATTGTATCATTAGGCAGCTTGCGATACTCAGGCCTAATAATAACCTGGTGGGACACCATTCTATATACCGGGTAAGAGACAGTTTTGTGACCTTATTGTACTAACCTGGTGGGACATCATTCTATATAAGAGACAGCTTTTTGACCTTACTGTACTTACCTGGTGGGACATCATTCTAAATAAGAGACAGCTTTGTGACCTTATTGCACTTACCTAGTGGGGCACCATCATACAGAAGAAACAGCTTTGTGACCTTACTGTACTAACCTGGTGGGACACCATTCTATATAAGAGACAGCTTTGTGACCTTATTGCACTTACCTGGTGGGACACCATTCTATATAAGAGACAGCTTTGTGGTCTTATTGCACTTACCTGGTGGGGCACCATCATACAGAAGAGACAGCTTTGTGACCTTATTGTACTTACCTAGTGGGACACCATTCTATAGAAGAGACAGCTTTGTGACCTTATTGTACTTACCTGGTGGGACACCATTCTATATAAGAGACAGCTTTGTGATCTTATTGTACTTACCTGGTGGGGCACCATCATATAGAAGAGACAGCTTTGTGACCTTATTGTACTTACCTGGTGGGACACCATTCTATACAAGAGACAGCTTTGTGACCTTACTGTACTTACCTGGTAGGACACCATCATATAGAAGAGACAGCTTTGTGACCTTACTGTACTAACCTGGTGGGACACCATTCCATATAAGAGACAGCTTTGTGACCTTATTGCACTTACCTGGTGGGACACCATCATACAGAAGAGACAGCTTTGTGACCTTATTGCACTTACCTGGTGGGACATAATGGTAAAGAAGAGACAGTTTTGTGACCTTATTGTACTTACCTGGTGGGGCACCATCATATAGAAGAGACAGTTTTGTGACCTTATTGTACTATCCTGGTGGGACACCATTCTATATAAGAGACAGCTTTGTGACCTTATTGCACTTACCTGGTGGGACACCATTCTATATAAGAGACAGCTTTGTGACCTTATTGCACTTACCTGGTGGGACACCATTCTATATAAGAGACAGCTTTGTGACCTTATTGCACTTACCTGGTGGGACACCATTCTATATAAGAGACAGCTTTGTGACCTTATTGCACTTACCTGGTGGGACACCATTCTATATAAGAGACAGCTTTGTGACCTTATTGTACTTACCTGGTGGGACACCATCATATAGAAGAGACAGCTTTGTGACCTTATTGTACTAACTTGGTGGGACACCATCATATAGAAGAGACAGCTTAGTGACCTTATTGCACTTACCTGGTGGGACACCATCGTATAGAAGAGACAGCTTTAGATTCCTGAAATGTCAGCATCTTTAAGGTGATTAAGGAGAAGTTGATTTTAATTTATGCACTGGATCTAGTCATATATCCTATACATAGTAGGAGACAAGAGTGATTACTAAATAATCAATTAATATACAATTAAAATTCTCGATAAAATTTTCTTTTGTAATGAAAGAAGAAATATAAAACAATAACAGTGATTTTTACACTTTAATCACCTTAAATCCTCCAATAATAAAATAATGATTTGCCTAAATGTTTAAGGAGATCTTGACCACACATGCCAGTGAGGAACACAGTTCTGCATAAAAAAATACTCCGAGAATGCTTGTTTATATTTAAGCTTTAAAAGGATACAGGTTTGTCAAAGTTCCTCACATCCCAAACACTGACATGGTTCTGAAAAAATTAAACATTTACTGTAAACACTGTCTAATTAAAATATTTTTACATGTTCCAGATTTTTTCTAAATTCCAAAGTTTAAATTACCATTATTATTACATCTGTTCCATGGAATTTATATTAAATTTTAAGAATATATTCTGCATATGGATTTGCATTAACATTTTTTGCATTAAACTATCCTACAAAGTTTATAACCCCTGAATATGCATGTACACATGAAATAATGCTGCAACACATTTTTAAAATACACAAAAATGGCCACAATCATGAATTTACGGATTCCATTGACAGTAATAATGAGCACAGCGAGCTAAATAGACTAACGTGTACGAACAGAGAAAATTCGAACTAAAATCTGTATATTCGTCAAGAAAATTTTTCTGTGAATCCTTCCCACAATTCCTTCGCTAGTAGGATTCCATGTGATAATGACGAATATAACAGATCCGCAGTTATTGTGTATAAAGTTAGATTTAGTTCTTGCAGAGAGCTAAAACGAAACCTATAATAATTGCATCTACTCTACAATGTCTTTTGTTAAAAAATTGAAAAGGCTTATTCAGCCTCAGTTATAGAATTGCAACTTATATACGTCGTCAAGTGACGTCACAGTCTATACTGTCTCATGTGGTTTGAAATTTGAAGAGATGGATCAAAGTTAAAAGTGTATGCTACATAAAGGTTTTTGATGATAAACAACTGCACTCTCCCCAATGGTGGCACTGTAAAACATATTATACAATGATATGATTTGTATACTGCTAAACATCTGATATATGACTGAAAATATAATGGTCAAAATTAACTGACACTAATCGATAATACTTTTATTACCTCTTAAGGTAACATAGTAAATGTATTACAGTCAAGTATCTAAAAAAAAACCCAGCTTAAATACACAAAACTCTACATGTTCTGGTTGTTTGAGTTATTGACAAACAAGTTGATGAAACAAGAATATCAGCAATCTCTTTTAAAGTACTAGTCATCATTTCGTAAGTTCTATGGTCGATACAATGACCTTGTCAGCAAATACAATCTATCATTAAGTCAAATGCTGACTGACTTTTTCACACTAATTGTTAGGCCATTATTTACACATGTGAATTGTAGACGGATTTTTCCGTTATTTCCCGATCATGACAAGGAGCACATGACGGGTGTGGCCGGTCGGCAGGGGATGCTCACTCCTCCATGGCACCTGATCCCACCTCTGATGTCTTAGAAGTCCGTGTTTGCTCTGCTCCTATTTTGTAATATTTAATGGACTTTTCAGCTTGAATACTGTTCGTTATCTCCACATATTTCATGTGTACCAAATTATTTTTTAAAACAAAACACAGATATACTTACCTCATTAAATGAAGCGATTCTGTGATCATTCTGTCTGTCCACACAAACGCCTCTTATCATTTTTGTCTGGGTCTGATTTTGAGGTCGAGTACAATCTAGAAAAAATTTATACAATATATAGGGAGGTGTCATTAATTATACAGTAGGCATGGGGAGGTGTCATTGGATCACAGTTAGGTATCAACTACACATATTATATTACATTTACATTTGAAACTTTAAAATTACTGTTGAAACTCTACAGCTTTCTCATTGACTGGAAAATAAAAACTGTGCACTGTAACTTTGTTTGGACTAAAACATCCTACCTCTAAGGTCATAAATTCTGAGGTATCTAGCATTCATTCCAGTCACAAATGTCCGAGGTTCTTTCTTAAACCAATCAAAAGATGCTGTAGTCTCAGAGGGCCCTGGAAATATACATGATGATTATGATTTATATATGGCACAAGTCTTAACTTCCTACTTCTATGTGTAGCAAATATATCATTCTACTTTCAAATTAAATTATTTTAACCCCATTTCTGATAATGTTATGTGTATCATCATAACTTACCCTCAATTCCAAAGTACATTGTTGTTTCTAAGTAAGGTATAACTTACTCCCTATTTCTAAGTAAAGTACATGTACGCTGTTGGTGTCACTATATCTATGCTGCAGAACTTACCCCCTATTTCTAAGTATTGTACGTGTACACATGTGGATAACTTACCCTCTATTTCTTAGTAAGGTACATGTTCATCTGTGGTAACTCACCCCCTATTTCTAAGTAAGGTACATGTACACCCGTGGTATCACTATGACTAGAACTGTATCGTTGTCTGTCCCCGTGCTCATTCCCAGGTTTATGGTGAATGTTCCAAATGTTGATGCAGCTATCATTTCTATACTTTTCCAATCCCTCTGCAAGCTAATAAATACATCAAAATATAAAAACAAAATTTTCCTCATATGTAAAACTTAATGGGCCTAACATCCCCTGCTCACTAAATGGATTTTTTCTATGTGACTTTTTCTATAAGATGAAGAAGACAAAAAATGAACTTCAAAATTTGAAGCAAATTATTGCTAAAAATGAAAATTTAGAAAGAACCATTTTCAGAGTTATCTCTCTTAGCTCACATCTCTTAGCAGAGGGTCAAGATCATATTACTGTACATGTATTTAAAATATTGTATATAGTAGAAGGAAAATTTTCATGGGGACAAAATTTTGTTGATTTTGTTATCACAAAGCATTTGATGGGTTTTAAATTTCATTGTTTCAAAAGTAACCAAAATCAAAATATATGATCATAAAAATTTCATTTGGGATTTGAGTCTGTTGAAAATTGTTCACAAAGAAATAAACAAAATTTTATCCCCAACAAATATTTCAGCTTAATTGACTGAATATTGCACTAGCACAGTGATAATAAAGAGTAAAATTCGACAAAGTTTGTTTTCATGGAGTTACCAATTAAAACTTGAAATTAATGACCTCAGGTTTAACAGACTGATCAAAATCTATACAAAGCACTCTTTTAAGTAATCCTATTACTTTTTAAATAAATCATATTTTTCAATAAGTAAAAAGTAAATGATATTTAACTTGTCAGTTTTACATGATCTTTATCACTTCTTGTATCTTATCTGTAACTAAGCCAACTCTTAATTGCTGTTAATTATTACAAGAAATGAAAGCAAACATACCAGGTGACAATCTACAGGATTCCAGTTAAGATATATACACGACCGTGTGTGTTTGGGAACTACAAATATAATATATAACAAAACTGACTGATTTGACAAGTACATTGTGATTTTTTAATGAACTCTGACATGACATTTCAAAAAATTTCACAAAACTTTCAAAATGATAATATATATTTTACAAAAGTATATTCAAAATTGAATTGCAGTTACATATATTCTAGATGTACTTAAGGATTCTACTTACCAAACTCTTTGTTAATTAAATCACTTTCATTATTGTCACTGAAACTGAAATTTAACAAATGAATCATAACCATGATCACTCAATTCACTTTGACTTAAAATTAATACTTTAACATCATTAAAAACAAATATTCTTAATTTCAAATAGATTGAATTTAATGCATATTATGTAACAGTTATTGATTCATGCTTTTTCCAATTTTGCAAATTATTTTATTTCAACTGAAACAAAAAATATTCAGTTCCAATATATTATTTAATGATTTAATGACACATATATTACATGTTAATACCATATCTGAATTTCTCTTTCGGTGATTAAATTATGAAAATTTAAAATATGTAGATTGATCTTTACAGAGTATTAATAAAATCAAGATATCACTTTGAAGATACAAGTGATGCTTATTCTTACTTGTTTAAGATGACTCTTCCATTGGCAAGTCCTATGGCCAACATTTTATCAGGCTCTGCCTTGGGATACCATGCCACTGTCTGAAAACAATGCAGTTATGGAGTAAGTTTGAACTGTCACATATAGAAGATGAATTGGTCACAAGAAGTCAAAAATGTTAAAAAAAAAAAAGTAAATAGAGGGAAGACAGCCAGACACAAGGTGATCAGAAAAGTTCATTTGTACTTTCAGTTCAGGTCAGCTAAATATAAAACAGGCTAGAATTATATAATTTTCAACCTACAGTCATATTTAAGTGAAACAAGATATGAAGTCTTTCATACAAAATACACAGGACTCTGTTTTTGTTATTGTTAATCTTGAAATCTCTGAGGATGTAAACAAATAAACAAACCTTTAACATTCCTATCTCTATAGACTTGGGTTGTTCTACGGCCCACAGGCAATCTGAAATCTGCTTCACAACAGGGGCTAAAAAGAAAATTAAAAGTTTTTATTTTTATGAATCTGTTCCTTTTCATTTTTTTAGTGCCTAATAAATGTCTAGTTCAGATATTTTCATTTTTCTATTTCGACTTTTGAAAATACATTTTCTGGGAGTATTTTGCTCTTGGAAACATACAAAATAGTCAGGAACAAATCATACACCCACAGGTACATATAGTAGATATAGTAAAACTTCTCTAAATAATCTAGATACCACTGGTTCCATAGAAATTGGCCAGAATAGACATTTTAGATTAGACAAAATTTTAAACAATCGAATTTACTGAAACAGACTTTTAAAAATAAAGTTTACATCATATTATGCAATATATTTGAATACACAACATCTGGATTAGACAAGTTTCATTGTAACTATGATAATGCATACACTCACATTTCAATAATAAAATCTCAGTTTTTCGGTTTCAATTTTCTTTATGGATTGTTAATTGAGATCTTACCTTTCTGTGATGGTTTTCCCCTTGATTGATCAAGTTTGTACAGTAAAATCTTGTTAGGACTACAGGTACAAAACAGGTCCTCATAGATTGGTGACCAGTAAACTTTTAGATTACTCATTGTGAAGTCTGAGTTATAGTAGAGCCTGTTTGTCTATAGAGGCAATACCTAGGATCAGTTTACCTGTAACAAAATAAAATTGACAAAGAATATATAATAAATTAAAACAAGGCTTTTTGCTTCACCATGTTCTTTCTTGTTTTGTTTTATACATACTCCAAAGTGAGGGCATCAATCAATCAAAATAAAATAAAATAAATCATAAAATATTCTTTACAGCCAGTGTAAGCCATCATGAAGCAAGCTCTATAGACTAACGTGTAAGAACAGAAAAAAATTCAAACTGAAATCTGACCATTCATCAAGCAAATTTTTGTGTGAAACCTTCCTGGAATTTTTCTTTATCATGTTTATCACAATTCCATAAGATAATGGTGAATGGTACGACAGGACCGCAGTTATTGTTACAATTTAAGTCTTACAGAGAGCATAAAGGAAACATAAAAACAACTGTATCATGTAATGCCTTTCGTAAAAGAAAAAGATTGCGCTATTTACTTAGACTCCATTGTCAGTGATTGTAGAAGTGCAGCTAATATACAATGCCACAGTCTTACTCTAACTTCCAAATGTCTTGCACAGTTTGAGAAGGTGGATCAAAGTTAAAAGTAAGCTTGATGTTATCCAGTCAAAAATACAAATCACCTCAACAGTCACTCCGTAATACATAATAACACTTATGAAAAGAGAGAGAAGAATATGACATTTAGGTAGGATCATTTACTGGGGGCCAGATTGCTAACCACCCAACAAGAGTTCAGGGGGCCCACATTCGAATCTTCATTATTTTTTCTCCCTTAAATGTTTCGAAGATATTACACTGCAAATTTGATAATTAATTTGAGGAACAAAGTCAAGTCAACAAGTAAAGCTCAGCATGTCAACGCTGGTTTCCTAAAAACGATTGATGTCATGTGAACTTGTCTAGAAGTGAACTTGGGAGAACTAATTAAGAAGGTAGAAATTTTGAGGAGAGACATAAATCTCTGGTTTTGAGTAAGTATATATTCATCTACAAATAGAATCACTGCTGAAGCCCCCTCCAAATGCCACATCATCGAACATATTATACCTTAACAATACAAGCCTACAGATAGGAAAAATGTACGCACTCTGACTGTTGAAAAGGCTTTGAGTAAATCATAAATAGATAATTTACTGTTTACATTTCTGATTTCAACTCCGAAATCAGTCTACTTTCATTTTCAATAATGTAAGAGTCGAAAACTAGTTCACATTGTCGTAAAAGTTGTTAAAATTGACTGAGATATTTTGTAGAAATAAAATAAATGTACATGTATAAGATAAATAACTGATGTAAATTACAAAATCTATCTTTTGTCCGAAAAGAATTAAAAAAAAAAAAGGAAGTTGCGAATTTCCCCATTTCTGTTACTTCCGGCGTCATGTTTTCATGACAGCAAACTTGTCTTGAGAAGTTGAGGCCTGATCATAATGATGTTTGTATTGTACGCTTTGCTTATTGAATAAATGTAACGAAAAAAGCCAGAGATGTCGAACACAAGAAATCCAAAGGACATTAGAGGCATGGTGACGGGCAGTGAACGGGTAACTGCGTTTGATATGGTTGATGTCCATTTGGCCGACAGTAAAAATAAAAAGGTGTTAAAACGTGTATTTGGCTGCTAATTTTGAACCCGTGTGTGTGTGTTATTTTATTTTTGTCTAGAAGCTGGTCGTTGATTATAAATTCTGGTATAATGACTAATATGTGACCCAGTAACTATATAGGCTAAATAGTTTTTATTAAATCCCTTTACTGAATTTTCCCATGACTCATTGACTGGGAATTTTCCAGAATAAAATTCCAGTTCGATTTTTAATGCAATGGATCACTTTCAACAGGTTACAGATTCTTAATTTGGTATGATATCTAGTATTTTTTCTTTTATGCAGACATATTTGTTCACAATTTTGAACATTTTACCTGCCAGTCTGAAAATAGTTAAAGTTTAAACATTTTGGGATCCCATTTCCAAAATTGTTCATTCAATTGTTTTTTTTTTAATTTTAGGATATGGAAGAAATGAAGGGAAATCTAGATAAGCTGAAGAACCTGTCTGAGGATGACAAGAAAGAAAATGCGATGCTGAGATCTAGAATTGACGAACAGAGCCAGCTGATTATGATACTAAAACAGAGAGCAGATGATGTGCAAGGCAAAACTTCAACGCTGGAGCGAATTAACAAAGAATTAATGGACTTTAGGGGCAATGCTCAAGAGATGCTGAATGCAGAAATCAGAAAGAATTCTCTTCTTGAAAAACGTTTTGATGAACTTGCATCAAATCATCAGGAAATGATTAAGATTAAAGACGAGTATAAAAGATCTAATCAGGATTTACGGCAGGAGAACTCTCGTCTCAGGGATGAAAATTCTCGCTTGTTTTCTGGTGCAATAGTTGAAAAAGATCAGCAGATTTCTGACTTGGAGAAAAAGCTTGCCAGTTTAAAAGAACAGACTAGTAGTCAAGAGATTAGACAAAGGTACATGTACTGTACATTGATATGCATTGAAAATATTCAGTTAATGTAAGTTGTCGTGATCAGTCTCCAATGAATTTTAAAGCATTCAATGGAGTGAATGGGCAAAAAATTTCTTCCAAAAAAATTCAAGTAGAATGAATAATTGTCAAGAAAAATGCAACATTAATGTATTAAGTTTGTTACTCACTGGCTACAGGAATATATTGGGTTGCTTAATCTTGTAGATGGCTAGGCAAAGATTGATCAATGCAGGGATTAATCCAGAGCTTGTGGGAAACTACCCTTTCTGGAGAAATTAGGAAAATCATTCATTTATTGAACACAATAAATTTTAAATAAATTATTGTTTGAGGTTTTTAAGGTGAATTTTTACTCATTAAAAGGAGAAAATGAGATACTCAGGGGAAATTTTCTCTTGTCTATGGGGGAAAAATGCCAATTATCAGTAGTAAACATGGCCTAGATTATTCCCTATAATCTGATATATTTCTGTAGACAGTCGGTAACAAACCTGTTTATTGAGGCTAGATCATAGCGTGAAGGACATAAGCAAAAGAAGTGATGATCAAGATTGAAATGAAATTTGAAATTTTTTTCAAAAGCATAATTATATAAATTTATGATTATTATTATTAATTAGTGACGTGCTGCATGTGCATTTCATTTTTTAAATACAGTGATGATTCTCTTCTGATATTTAGCGGAATTCCGCTAATTTGAATCCAAGAATCCAATATTTATGAGTGCTTTACGATATTTCAGTACTTTTGATTTTTGCAGCAATCCGTTTCCATTTTTGTCCGGTAAAAAATTCAAGTTGTTTTGTCCCTGTTTTAATCTAATCTGCATCATTCAGACATTTTCTTATATCTCCAAGTAAGGTAAACACAAACATAGGGATGATTGAGACTTCCTTACAGTGGCATGGCGGTTCATTCAGCCAGGTCAAGATGTAAAAGTTGTTGAACAAACTGTTACACTACAATTTTTGTCCCTCATTTAAACCTATTTTGGGCTTGCTAAGCCCATATTTCTTCAGCTCCTCGACTTCTAAACTATTTTAGATATTTTGGTCAATTCACAGAATCATCACTGTAAATATTACTGTAATTAACATGATATTTATCACGTAAACAGATAAATAATACATTTTTTTTGTTTATATGTATTCTGCAGACAAATCATTCAAGATCTGAAAGCTCGGGAACAGGAACTTCAAAAAGAAATTCAGACATTGCAGGAGCAGTATAAAACGGACATAAAAAACCTCAACAATAAATTACAGGAAACAGAGGAGAGGTTAAAAGGTATGTGATCCAGCGGAGATGCTGAGTGTACATGTCAATCGAAACTTCTCGGGCCTTTCCGACAAGCGGAAAAACCACCTTGAATGTGTTACGTAGGCATCCATAACAACCCCCCTTTTCATAAACTTTGAAATAAATGTATGGAGAACTCTTATTTGTAGACTTTGGAGCCCAACTTTATTGAATGTAAATATATTACCTAAAATATACTACAGGAGTGACTTTTAACTCTGTCTTTCCACTGCTTTAATGAATAGGAAGTGACTCCATCTTGAATAATTTTTTAACATCCGGTGATGTTAATACATCCGAGGTTGTTTTTCAGACCTCCGATGGAAAGACCCGAGATGATGTGATTATGTACATGTTGTATGATCTAATAAATATATTCCTGTCAATTATGGGAATCATAGGTAACACAGGGAAACTGTTGTTCCAGTTCTTTTTTATTTGTGGAAAATCTCCCTATTCTGTACACAGGGTTGTTTTCACACAGTGTTATTTTCGCCCTTTCACACCTGCAAACATACACTTGGTCAGACATATACTTCAGTGTAAGAAATTATGCTGTTTTCTTTGAATTTGCCCCCTTTTAATTTGCTGACTTGCACTGAGGGTGAAAAAAAAAACTATGGGGGAAATTTCCCCGTTTACAGTACATGTATTGATAGAATATTTGAAGTGTACAATAAAAGTTCTTAAGGACATACACAACGTACCTTACCTACTGATAATTCTTCAAGATATTCTTTAAGATAATTTAAGATTATAGTGCCATCAGATGCTCATAGACACAAAATCAGCATGCATTACCACGGGTTTTGAAAAGATATCAATTGATGAAAATTCCTGTTTAATTCAAAGAAAAATATACAAAAATTACTAGTAAACATGTAGTCTAGATGTTTTGTTTATCCAAACTTGTTTTATGAGAAGTGTACAACAGCATATATAGACATTAAAATGTAGCACACAGTTCCTTCTAGTATTGGAACTCTTCAACTCCAGGGAAAAAGACAATAAAGTTCAAACTATGTTGCGTATGTTCTTAATCTGATGACAATGTAGGTACTGTATGATCTTATAATTTAAAGGGAGTCATTGATAACAAGGGTGGTAACTGGGTTGTTTATCCATTTTCCTCTTTGTGAAATGTGAATTAATAAGATTCCAGATATTGATAAAGTACATGACTCAATGTACAGTTATTTAAAGTATAAAACAAATGGTTTTAATAAGTTGTTTTATATAAAGAAACTGTTTAAAGATTGAATGAGTAAAAACTGAAAATTAATGTCTAAAATTTTGCTTAAAAAAGGAATAAAAACACATAAATCTCTGTAACCTAAACCATACACACAAAAAATGAAATTCATTAAATTCATACCTTCAATTCACTCCTGGATTTGATTTTAGGGAATTAACAAATCTGGGAATGGATCAAAGATTTGATTTGGGACATGGATCACAGATTTGATTTTGGATAGCTTTTTGAAAATAGATTGATTAAATATGGGTTTATAGGCAACATTTTTGATTTTTTTTTTTCACAGGTGCTAATTACAAGTTACAAAACCAACTAGATGATAAGAAATCAGCTGATTGTGAGTCTCAGAGCAGAATACAGGCCCTTACAAAAGAGAAAGATGAACTGCTGGACCTAGCAATGCAGAGAGGCAAAATCATACAGGTAAATAACCAACTGTAAACATAGTAATTTGTGATTCAGAGAAAGGTACATAGAACACCCCCCCCCCCACACACACCCCCCCCCCCCCCCATATACCAATGCCTTTATGTAAATTATGATACTTGAATTGCTGAAATGATCCCCTCATCCCCCCCTCCTGTATACTGATTTGTTAAATTATTTTCATGCTTACAGTGCCAAGCAATTTTGAACCTTACATATATTTTACAGTTACAAATTACATGTATGTATGTTAAATTTTTAGATTTGTTTTATATTGAAGTAAATTCCGTCGCTTAATTCTTACAGAAAGAACAATCGGAAAACAAAAAACTACAGAAGAAAATTGAGGAGACGGAGAAATCCATCCGGAGCCTGGAAGAGAAGTTTGAGTAAGATATCAGATTACTTTTAGGTTTTATTGCAATTAATTTGACTATTAAACATACTAAAATTTTCAGTGATTATTGTATTCTGCATACTATTCAATGAACAAAGTAAATTAATTTAAGTGTGCAATTAATTTTTTTTAACTAATAAAAATATGTAAAAAAAGCTTTCAGTAATCATACTGTACAACTTCAATATCTCAAACAGTTACTGATAATTTAAATACCAGGGATATTAGCCAAAGTTATGAAATGCATCTCAATTAACTATTTCAATCTCGACAATTTTTAATCAATCTCATCAAGTTTGAGATGAGGACTATTGAATGTGGTTGTATTCATTTTATATCAAATCCCATCATGCTTCAGTCTATAAGAATAATTCCTCAGCAGGTTATATCAAAGATTATTTACCGGTAATCTGGATTAGAGTTATTAAGTAAAAGTAAAGTAACTGTCATTTGTTATGATGCTTCAATTCATGGTTTTTTTTTTTTTGTTATTCATTCTATACTATGAAGGATTTGTCATACAGTAAGATGTTAACCACAGATTGATGTTTTTATCAAAACCAATCTCCAACACTCACAAAGCACAGTTTTTAATATTCACAAAATGGATGAGTCAAAGAAACTCTCATCTATTTAAATAATTTATTTAAAATAAAATGTTGATTCTTTCACTTTTTTTCATGTCATTAATTCGTAATTTTATGTTAATTGGTGGAGAAAAAAAATTTTAGTAATATCTTTGATTCTTTGATGTGTTTTAAATTCCTGCACTCAAGTATCTTAACGGACGTTGCGGGTTTGCTGACATCATTAAAACTGAGTACGCAATTTATGTGATTTGGGCGACTTTTGTGTGCACATTTGATTATGACATCACAATGAGTAAGACATTTTTTAACTCTTCAACACAACTGAAGTTATTACAGATAGAAAACATTTGAACGATTTTTTTAAAGTTCGAAAGTCGAAAGCGTTAGAAAGCGTTTATTTATCATCACATTGAGACCACAACAGTATCACAAAAATATATGGAGCAACTAAACAAGTTTCAATTGCATGATTATTTTTTCCTTTGATGTATTTTATATGTGTGTTACACTGATAAACCGTCATTATATAAACAACCGCAATTACAGCTGTTATATCAAAAGTTTAGGATTTATCTCAAGCAAAATGAAACGAAAATTAGTTTTCGATTTAGGAGAAAATTGGACATATAACATGTAACATTTCAACTCGACAGAGAATAGATATGTATTTGTTGAAAAAAGATTATTTTTTTATACTCATCCCCTACCACATTTGCCGTTCTTCTGAATAATAGTACCTAACCACTCACCTAATCCTTTGGCGATTACCCATTTTCTTACTTGTCAGAAAATTTAGAACTTTTTCTTTCTAATTTGATTTTCTAATTAATATTCGCTCCCCCATTCTTGTAAGAAAAAAGTCTCTGAATCACGCTAGGAGTACTGCTCCTGCAACCCCCCCCAGCCTTCTCTCTCTCTCTCTCCCTTAGTTACAGCTTAAACAAGATGTTTCAGACAAGATACATTGTTACATAACTCATACATCTGTGCTTATTTCAAAATATAAATTTTACATCAAATATATATATAAACATAAATTTTTTTCTTCTTTTAATTTGTTTTTCTGCACTTCATAACGAACCGTATTCACGACGTCAAGTGTGACGTCGTGATCATTTATAGCGTCATTCTTAAAAATGTTACATTTAGCAATGTAAAAGCAATTATTTGCATTTAAATTACGAGAAAACTAACTCGAAGGTACATCTATATTTTAGATTTTTTTACATAGATTTATCTGAAATCATCTCTGTGTGAAATGACCACAGGGAAACAATTTCGTCTGCACCATTTAAAAGATACTGAGATTTTTTGAAAAGAAATATTTCCTGAAAACGAGTTCAAAATGACGTTTTCCCTATAGAATTCAATAGAATAACGTCCAAAATGTTACGACAACGATGACATGTTTTGGATTTAATAACGCAAAAAGGTGAAGACAAATTTTATAAAATTTTTAGAGAATGTACAACAAAAGTAGGAAATTCATATATTTATGTAATTTTCATGGTATGTTTTCGAGCAATTTTAAAAGGTCACCAACCCTGCGACCTACGTTAATTAAGATTTTATATTGTAACATGACAAAATTTTGCATGTGTATTTGAATGTTAATGTTAGGTGTTTAGATCTGATTAAGGTCATAATTAGCAGTGACCTAGAAATAGCTGCATGCATATGATGCATGTACATTAGTAATTTAATTATTATCATTTAATTTTGAAAGAAGCACCACTCACGAAATAGAAATACTCTCTTTTATTTTTATATTAATTTGCTGAAATATGTGTACTAAAATGTCTTCATCAAAAGTCCATTTGCAATTCATATTCTCACGATTTGATGTTTATGAGTCATTTTGCTACATTAAGTTCTCGCAAAAAATAAGGAATCTACAGTAAATTACACTGTAGTGTAACAATATATATATATATGAAATATATAAACCGTATGTGTTTTTCCTTTTCAGACATTTTTTTTTTTGAAGGTTATAGCATTTTTAGCAATTGATTAAATAAAACGTTAGGGAAACTTAATAACCCCCCCTCCAACTTTAATTGATATTTGTGAATTGGATTGATGTTCTGAGCACTTTTCAAATTCAGCTTCACAATATATAATGTAGTCTCAAGAAAATTTATGGTTCATAAAAACAGAGAAAAAAATATGAATAAATTGTGTATAAGGAGAAATCTGAGCCCAGACCTGCATACCCAAAAGTGGATGTTACCGTAGTTTTCTATCAATTTGTCCCTAAGATTTGACATTTGTAAATCTAAGCAGGTAATCTACTCATCGTTGTTCTCACAAAAGATCGGTCTGAATATCAACTTCAAAATGATGACACTTAAGACAAGTAGTAATCCCTAATTTTTTCATACTTATATTACATCTGCATATCTTAATCATGATGTCTTTGTGCTTAGTATATATCATCTAGTCATTTCAATTTTAATGCGTAAACTGTTTGTTGATATATTGTCACTATTAAAAGCATCTAAATGGTGAACATCCAGAAATCAGAGGAGGCAAAAACTTGTAAAAATTATGGGTCAATCGAGAGAGTAGGCAGATTTATGAACCCTTTTTTGAAAAGTTTCATTTGTTTTAAATTAAGTTAGCTCATATAGGTAGTTCCTTAGTTCATAAATTTGATTGTGTGTGTGTGTGGGGGGGGGGGGGGGGGTTTAAAAAGTTTAGCAGTTCCAATTAAGTCATATAGACTGTCTTGTATTAATAGGTAAATAAAAGTTTCATCCTGATTTGAGAAGTGAATACAAGTTATATCCCCTGTATTTGTAGAAGGGAGGCAGCTACAGTGAACGCTAACCTACAGGTGAGAAAGTTACGTGACGAGCTGAGCTCCGCAGAAACTCGCTGTAAAGAAGCGATTAGGGTAAGTCTCGTAGAACAGCAGGACTCTACTATTACAGACTTTTACAAAGTACCAGATTATGTATTATAAAGTTTAAGCAACACTTATAATAGCTAGACTTATAATAGCTAGCATAATAGATTTTCACAATATCACAGACTTATTCAGACTGCACTTGACTTAATACATATATTTATTAAGTGTTACAGTATAATAGTCTTATTCAAGGTAGTAAAAATGTTGTACATTGTGACACCATTTAATTTTAAAATATGCTTGTAAGATAATTAGTTCACATAAAAAAAATAGTTGAAGATATATAATATTAATATCTTTGAAGCATAAGGAAAAAAAATTATAAATATAGGCGTTTCAATTATTTAAGTGATTTGTGTTGCTCCACAGGATTTTGAGGCTTTTAAGAAATACTCCAACACGCTGCTGCAAAAAGAGAAAGAAATCAATGAGAGACTCCGACATCTGGCAGAGTAAACTCCCTTAGTAAGGTCACTTCTTGTCAGAAAGAGGCAGAGTAGTCTCCCTTAGTATTGTCACTTCCTGTCATGGGGTGTGTCATTTAGGGCAATTAATTATCTATTTTTGAAAATTGTATTACTAGTTGAGGATACATTTGAAATACAAATCTTGTTATGAAATTGCATTGAAAAAGGCAATAAGACCACTTTTCCGTGTTTGTCTTTGATAAATTATTAACTAGTAAATGAACATGTACAATATTAATGACATTTACTGCTGACAATTCTGCAGTCAAATAAACTTGTTTGTTTTAAAACATGATGCATCTGAATTTGAAGAATATTATGTGATAACCTTTATGTGATAACCTTTAAGTACACTTAGAATACACAAAATCAGGGTTGTCTCTAAGAATTGAAATAGCAGGGGACAATAAAAATGTAGAAAGGAATTTGGGGCTCTTCTAACAGGGGGTTAAGGGGGAATACCAGAATAACCAGAGGATTACGTCGTTATAGGCGGGGAAATTCCCTGGCCCCCCCAGGTCTTAGGGACAACTCTGCAAAATTATAAAAAAAAATGCAATGTGTATATATATAATATTTTATGAAATATAATATATCTTCATGTGAGTAAAGATTATTTATTTAAACTGCTGAAATGCATGTATTGGTATTATGATAAATTATACATGTAAATTGTTAATAACTATTGCTGCTGAAAATCACTTTTGTATCATGTACAAATTTATATATTACATGTACTTATACATATGGCCCAGTATTTGAAAACTGTTGGGACTCTGTATTCATAGTTTATCTGTTTGTAATTATATGTTTCCATATGTAACGTTGGCCTATATGTACACTAAACAAAGAGGCTCCAGATTGAACACATTCTGTTAGGTCAAGGATATATTGTGAGGTCAAAGTTCAAATCATACTTTGCCATTTCAGGGGAACAGTGTGTCAATTACTCTTTTTTTTTTTTAGCTCACTCAAGCCAGTTGATGAAGTGAAGCTTTCAGATCAAAGACTGTCCGTATACAAAAAAAAATGTATGTGTGTGTTTCTGTAAACTTTTCACACTTTCATCTTCAAAATCACAGGGGTCCCAACCAGACTTCCCACAAAGCATCATTGGGTAAAAGGGATTGAAGCCTCTACAAATGAAAGGGACAAGCCCTTTGTTAAGGACATTGGCAAGTCAGGGCTTTCCGGAGAAAAAGGGTTTAATACATGGGTTTTTTCACTTGTAAAATAGTGATTGAGAGTGATCTCCCGTGTAGAATTCTCTAAGCGGTGAAAACCAATAAAGCTTATGTTATAGAGGTAAACAAAAGCACGTGTACTTCCTTCAACGGGTAGAATCATCTATACAGCAAGAAAGAAAAGTAGTAATGGCTTTGTTGTACATTGTATTCAGGGATAAAGAGCAAACAGGTCGTCATTTATCATAGTTATGCTCAGTATGCTGGGAAGGGCAAAGATGTGACATATGCTGACAGGTAGGTCGACATTGCCGACTGAGAACAGTTCTTAGGTCGTGTGAAGGAATCGACATTTAGTAATTACGAATAAAAGTTAAAAATAAATCTATGCCAATATTTTTTTGACAATGTGTTTCAATCAATTCAGTCAATTACATGATAAACAATCAACCAGTCTCTTGACCAATTTTAGCTGTTAAGGGACGCAACTCAAAAATGATGATCGGTGCCGGTATATCCATGTCTTGTTTCTATATATACATTTTCAACCAAAATATCTAGAAGTCATAGGAAATAAAGTTACAATTATGTATATATTACAAAAACTGTATGAAATAAATGTGTTTTGAAGAAATATTATGGTGAAAAATTATGTAGGTCCCTTTTATCAACATTTTACAAAGGAAATGCATTAAGAATTGTAAAAACACCAATTTGACAAAATCTAAAAAAGAATGCTGGATTGGTAGGTAAAACGGTCCATAATATAGCCTATTTAGTACATTTAAACCTACTCAAAAGTTCTTGAAAAATTCTATACAATAACCAGGAACCTTGCCAATGTCCTTAAAGGGAAATAATTAAGACAGAAAATAGGGTGGGGTTAATCAGAAATCATCTTTTAATTTTCATGTTCATTCAAATTGTGAAAAGTGAAATGGGAGCCATTTCACTGGTGATTATATATACATGTATATAGTCCCATGGACTAGGGTGGGGCCATAATGGGAGGAGTATACAGCAAAAATCTTTGAAAATCCTGTTGTCTATAATTTATCTTGTATGCCAGCTTTGAAACTCTTCTGCTCCAGGACAGCAAAGCTTTGATTTGTCATTTTAATATGCATTCCAAGTGTAGTTACGTAGTGTACATTTAACTGATTTAAGTGTCTTGAAATCATATGACCTCTGGGAGAAGGGTTGGGGCACAAAAGAGGGTAGGCATCCCCATGTAACAAAGTTTCTTCAGTGCGTGGCCTCAGGGACTAGGGTGGGTGCCACAATTTAGGGAACAAAGTTTTACAGAAATTTATACAAGTAGACATCCTTAAGAATAAGAAGGATACAAGTTGTAATGTTGATATTAACTGCCATATTTTGTAACTTAAAATAATTAAAATCATGGACTAGTTGATAATGCAGTATTATTTAAGTTCATATTAATTCATCAGGATGAAGGAGAATGTTGACTCAGATGAGCTTTGTGTCCCATTATCCTCTTGTTTTGTAATTTGGACATTATTTCAAATCAAGGGTTTATCACTCTTTAATAACCTCTGATCTCCCCACCTTTCCTTTCCTGAGATATTTGGGGAAATATACATTTACATGTATGTATAATACATCCTACAGATGATTTTAAGGTAGAGCGATTGTAATTCCGTCCATTTCTTCTGTTTAAATTGATTTTTTTTATGTTAATAAATGTACTTTTTTTCATTGAAATTGATTTTTATTTACAATCTTGTTAAAATTTAGTTGATTATATTAAAAAATGTTGAATTGTTAACATTTAAAATTAAATATCCAATATTAAATGAATTATAAACAATTTATTTTATTATGTTTTTAAATGTTACATTCAATTTATAAAAGTACAAAGTGAAGCATAATTATTAAATATTAAAATCCAGTGCAATAAATAGACATTAATTCATTTGTATATTAAATTTAGGAATAACTGTCTAATTTTTTGGTTTCATGATGTGATCAATCGATTGGCTTGCGTGATAATTTGCATAAACGCCGAAGGCGTTTATGCATAAAATTATCACGCAAGCCAATCGATTGATCATCGTCATGAAACCAAAAAATCTGACAGTTATTCCTTATATTTACATGCTGTTAATTCTGCAAATTCACGTGCTACAAGTCCCGCTTCTGTCTCTGTCTGTCCCGCCCCGCACGTGATTTTTTTTCACCACGCCTATCGATGAACCAGTAGATTTATGTAGAAATAAAATATTTTTACTATTTGAAATTTTATCTTGGACAAAGACATCGGAAATGTAAATATAAAAAAAATCAATCCTGATGGACAAATTAGAGAAAAACATGCCCCTTTTTCACATAACAAATGTTAGTATTTGCTTTTCATTAAATAACCTCAGCACATGCCAGTGTTTATTCAATTGTCTATACATCAAGTCGCATAGCCTTGGAAAGTACATACTAGGCTCATCCATTACATTCCTGACCGCCTCTGGGGAGGATAAATTCCTGGTCATGGTTATGCGCGAACCAGAATAGTTTTGGTATACAAAATGAAGCGTACGACTATGCATAAATCAAATGCTAAAATGAAATAAGCTCATTCAATTTCTGTAAAAAGTTAAAAAATAAAAACAAAAAACACGTTTAGTACTGATGGACAATGTCAATTAATTGAAAATAGACATAAGTCTCTATCAGATAGCTAGGCAGCAAACTTTACTGAAGTTTGCAATAATGTCTGCACAAATATCATAACTGTTGATCAAACTTGCTACAGCAAGTCACGAAACCTTGGGAGTCCATTATTTCCCCGGCTGCACGATCGTCCGCCTCCTTACAGGGACAAGAGGGACGAGAACTGGTTGTGCGGGGACCAGAATAGTTCGGGGTGTTATGACGGATATGATCTTGGGAGGGGGAATTTTCACTACAGGAACCTTAACTACTGGGACCTTAATCACTGGCGCAGGAACTGCTCCTCCAAAAATGTGGACATGTCTGTGGACTTTTATTGGTCTGGCTCCCAGCCGAATGGGCGGAAGGATTCGCCGACCTTGCGTACGGAGAGTTTGGATTTGTTCTCCGCCACAGATCTTGTTCAATGGAGGCAGAACATCCGTGCAGTTGCTCACGTGATTGTACGCTCCGCACGTGCAAACGTTAACACCGTCTGGGTGGGACACGCGGTCGCCTACCTTGACAATAGATCCGCCGATGTTGCATGTTCCTACAATATAATCTTTGACTTAAAAAAATAAAACCCATTGAAAATAAATGTAAGTTAGCATATTTTTCTCATATGAAACAATAATTTCTAGCTCTTAATTTGACTGGCTGGAATGCAATATTCTAGAAATCATAAAAAGTACAGGTTCACCTTCACCAGACTTCAAACTTAACTTTTCTTCATTACACCAAAATAAATTGGGAACTTCCAACAAAGTTCTGTCCACCTGCACCTAACCTTTTAGGTAAACACATTTTGTTTTGTTTTTACAAAAATATAGATTGGGTAATTGATACGATTTTTGTCGTCGAATGAAATTCCGCATTTCTCACTCATTTTGGCTAGGTCGATCTTCAGATGATTGAAGATTGCAAGGTTTGCTTAACAAATTTGTATTATTTAATCATTTAAATCAAATAATAAAACAGTTATTGCTATTTTTTGGTCATAACGATGAATTAGCTTCCTTCGAAGTACAATATTCACCTTTTCATGATTTTTTGACAAATGCTTTTTAATTCGAATTCTGTGCTGATTCTTTAGTCGTACCCACCTTCACAATAAAAACAGTTATTTCCTGGTCGTTTTTGAGTGCATTCTGGTTTTGTTTTAGCGCATGCCCACAACTTACAATAATGGAAGTCGTTGTGTTTTTGGCAGTATCGATCGGTACCAAAAACGGATGATATATCGGGTAGTTCCGATGTCTTGTATCGCAAGCAGCTTGTTCCAAATCTCTCCACCCCACCTGCGATTTTGAGGGAACTTGACATTAAACATTTATAATTATTTCATTTAAACATCAATAAAAATATAATCATTTAAAATACATGTATATTGAATTTAAAAAAGTTTATCTTCTAACATACACCTATAATTTTGATAATCGTGGTATATTGTTTCCCCTTTTCTTTCTTTCAACCATTTTCTACTGTTCTCTGAAATTCAAAGTGTAAGGAAGAGTGCGCTTGTAAAGAACTCCATATACATGTACCAGTGGCCAAGTTGAACACGTTATATAATTTTTTAAAGAATATCTTCGCTAGCCAAGGCCTTCGGTACATTCCGCTCCCCATGTATGTAGCGGAGTGGACCGAAAACCCGTGGCTAGCGAAGATGATTCTATATTATTGCATGATTGTAATTTGAATGTTAGATGGTGTGTGTAGCCAAAAAAGAAATGGGGATAAAGAATCGAAAATCAAATTAGTTGGCATGTTCAGTACGGATAAATTTTAAAACGAATCATTATTATTGAAGATGAAAATTTGATAAAAGAAACAATATTCCATTATATCATTCTTAGAATGGGTAAGTATCCTCCTCAATCGCAATATCGGCTCCGGTACGACAATTGACCTTTCAAGCAACTTTACTCAATCATTTTAAAAATGCAGCTGTTATTACCTGTCTGCAAGATGAGTACAAATGTAAGAAGAGATAGGAATGCAGTGTTTCTCCAGATCGCCATTCGAACACTACCTGCCGATGTAAATATAAAGATTTAACCATGGTAACGGTAAAGAAAATTAATTCGTCTTGCAAAACGATAAGTTTTTGGTAATTATAATCAGAAAGATAATAATGTGTTTTGGAATATTATTTCTCTTACCTCTCCGTTGTTCAATATAAGGTTTTCCTCCGCAAATCACACGATAAAATGAAGGGAAAAAGGTCAAAGGTGTTCCGATTATGCTACTCTGCAAAATGGCAAATATCTCTACAGGAAGTAAAAATAAAACTTTTTTTTCAAGACAGAGAGACAATTTGGATGTCACGGGCAGTGACAGGAGCGCATGTAGGGACAAAATAAACCCTGGCGTATATTGCTCATTAAAGAACGGTTCTGATTAGAGTGACGTAAAAAGGGGACATTAGTTCCGTCTTGATTGATAATGTAATGATGTATAATGTAGGAGTGGAAAAATCTGGATTTTTTGTTGTGTTTTTTTACGATTCATGTTAATTTGTTGACCCTGTCCATGTTATTGTTCAATTTGACTGATGCATTTAATTGCTTATTTCTAAATACTTGTATAAATACTTGGAATTCTTTTTTGTTTGTTTGTTTATATTGACACTCTCTGTCAATACATGTGATCAATGTAACTGTATTAAGAAGGTTAAAATGAAAGTTCAGTTATACAATATTCATGTAGAATTACATTTAATAAATGTTTTAAAACATATATTGAAATTATACTTGAAAGAATCGTTAATCGGTTCGAAAGAAATTAAAAAAAAAAAAAGGGAGGGGGGGGGGTGCTGTAGGGCATACAGAGAGCGCATTAATGTTCCTCTTTCCGCACAATAATTCGTTCTAGAATTAAAGTTCATTTTAAGAAACGATATGAACATTAAAATTTCAGCTTTCATGTTGAACTGATGCAAAAATGGGGGGGGGGGGGGCAGCGTTCCTCGTATACAATGCCGAAAACTCCACAAATCTGAACATATCGACAGAAAAACATGTACTAGTGTAAACTGGTAAACTGGACAGTTAAACCTGTCCTTACAAAATGAATTAGGGGAAGATAACAAACAGTGATCGATCTCTCAAAAAACCAGTAATAAATAGAAATCTGTAAACATGGTATAAAACACGGACCCCTGGAAATTGTGAGATCAGGTGCCTAAGAGGAGTATGCATCCCCTGTCGTCCGGTCACATCCGCTGTGATGTCCAATGTATATATTGATCAGGTAGACGGAATAATCCGTAATCAAATTTAGTAAAAAAACAAAGGCCTAACAATAGGTATGAAATATATCAGTCAAAATACGACCCAATGTCAGGTTATATTTTGCTATCAAGGTCATTATAAAAACCACAGAATTTACGAAATGCTGACTGAACGATGTTGTTGAAATCCCTGTAACATCAACTTATTTGTCAGTAGCCTGTCTCGGTTTAAAAAGTAATCGTACTCAGAGCATGCGCTTGAGAATCGAATAAATTGAGGGACATAAACACTATATGTAGGTGATAGTGATATATAACCCTACATAAATAAGGAAAGTTGACGATGGAAAAGCTGAAGTCATCTCGTTTGTTATACAGTTTAGTGTACCGTTTATAGGCAGTAAAACGTCCAAATATGAAACAAATGTGGTACACTCTTTTGAGTCTTTTGTTTCGAGTTCACTGGGATATATTGAGTCGACATATGAATGGAATAACTACTAGTATTGTTAATTGATTAAACGTCGTCGATATATCTTAATGCCGAGTTGAAGGTCATAACATGTGTTTTCTTCTTTTCTAATAAGTCGGCTAATAAAGGAACACAATTATTCCCATTTGGAATTCCAAATTGTTGTTTGGATTGTTGGAAGACCTGGTCTCCAAAGACTACACAGATGTTGGCAATGATGAACTCCAGGATCCTTTTAATATCAATCTCAGAGTACTTGTGTGTAGAATAAGAGTGACTTTACAAAATGATTTTGTAGATGACCAGTCACAAGATATGAAAAATTCCGAGTTCCATTTTTATTGAAGAAGCAGTTTTCTACATGATATCAAAAAGCCTAGTTTTTAATTTATCGTGAGGAATGTTGTATAACGAGACGATGAGTCATAGTTGCGTTTTGATGTTACTAACTTTTGAAAAGTTTTGTGATTCTAAATTTTCGAAAAGTACTTTGGAATTTTTGAGAATCCACATTTGATTTACAGTGATTCTTAAACATGCTGCAACACAGTACGTTTGAAGTTTCTCCTTTTCAGCAGTTAATATTTTTGTGAGGAGTAAGAATAGTTGCCGGACCCGGCAATATATAGAGAATATTACACACTAAAATCAATTTCAGTATGTAGTATTCTATTTATCATATATTTAAAATACTTAATATGCGAGTTCACATAAAGTCATTGAAGAATGTTTCATGCATGTTTATGACCTTTTTCTTAAAATCTAATAGTCTAAGAGCCAATTGTAGGACTTTGAAAACAAAAAAGTCCACAAATGTTAACTAGTAAAGAATTATTTTACAAATATATTTACATAAAATCAAGTTAATTAACTTTTAAACTTTATACAAACGTTACTTCTGGTTTGATATGGATTTTTGCACGCCGGTCCTATATGTGATATGGATTTTCGGACCGATCCTTGATATTGGGTATTGTGACGTCACCCGTTTCGCACAGTGCAGAATCAGTGTATTTATCCCATGTTTACCCCTTTATCCCGTGGATATGACTCATTGGATAAATTTTTCATAATCCACAGTTGTGACGTCACAATGGTTTTTGCGTTAGCGCGATAAAGTAAAATAAAGTGGAGTCCTATATAAAACAGTGTAAAACATTGGTTGTGAAGTATTAAACATGGGATAAAAAGAATCTCCCATGATTTGTAGTTGGATATGACTTTTATCCAACTCGTTGTGTGTTTTTATCCCCTCGCCAAGGCTCGGGGATAAAAAACACACAACTCGTTGGAGCTCAAGTGAGCTTTTCTGATCACCCGTTGTCCGTCGTCCGTCCGTCTGTCTGTCCGTCCGTCCGTCTGTAAACTTTTCACATTTTCAACTTCTTCTCAAGAACCACTGGGCCAATTTTAACCAAACTTAGTACAAAGTATCCTTGGGTGAAGAGGAGTTTAAATTGTTAAAATAAAGGGCGAAGTCCCGTTACAAGGGGAGATAATCAAGAAAAGATAAAAATAGGGTGGGGTCATTAAAAAATCTTCTTCTCAAGAACCACTGGGCCAAAAAAAGCTGAAATTTATGTGGAAGCATCCTGGGATAGTGTAGATTTTAAATTGTTAAAATCATGACCCCTGGGGGTAGGGCGGGGCCGTAACAGGGAATCCAAGTTTTACATTGAAGTATGTAAGAAAAATCTTTAAAAATCTTCTTCTCAAGAACCACTAGGCCAGAAAAGCTGAAACTTATGTGGAAGCATCCTGGGGTAGTGTAGATTTTAAATTGTTAAAATCATGACCCCTGGGGGTAGGGCGGGGCCGTAACAGGGAATCCAAGTTTTACATTGAAATATATAAGAAAAATCTTTAAAAATCTTCTTCTCCAGAACAACTAGGCAAGAAAAGCTGAAACTTATGTGGAAGCATCCTGGGGTAGTGGAAATTCTAAATTGTAAAAATCATGACCCCCGGGGGTAGGGCGGGGCCACAACAGGGAATCCAAATTTTACATTGAAATATGTAAGAAAAATCTTTAAAAATCTTCTTCTCAAGAACAACTAGGCAAGAAAAGCTGAAACTTATGTGGAAGCATCCTGGGATAGTGTAGGTGCTAAATTGTTTAAATCATGACCCCCGGGGGTAGGGCGGGGCCCGATAAGTATTACGAGGGGGAAATCTGATAAAGAACAACATGGCCAAAGTTACTCAGGTGAGCGATGTGGCCCATGGGCCTCTTGTTAAGTTTTGTGTGAGAAATGACTTTCAAATCAATTTCACAGTTGGCTTAGTAGAAAAACACAGCAAATGTAAATATTACTAAGTATATGATAAACCTTTGTTTGTAAGGAATTTTATAAAGTTAAGGAACCAAGTATAGGTAGGGTAGATCAAACTGACTTTTGTTGGCTGGAATGTTAAAAGTTAATATAAGACTGAAATGTGATTTTGTAGAATTTATTCATTAAAAAATAAACTACTGTATACAGAGAAAATTTCGCCCCGATTAATTTCGCGTCTTGTTTCAGGTGTTAAATTTAAAACAGGGCGGATGCAAAGTAGACTTCATGAACTTTGTCTGATGTAGAACGAGGCAAAATTGCTCGGAAGTGTGAAAGGGCAAAAACAACACGGGGCAAAATTAACCCTGTACACAGTATAAATGGACTTCCAGATATAGAATTTAAAACCAAGTTTGTTTTTCTACAATACAGTTGTAATACTGGGCCTTAGAATTTAAGCAAATTATATAATAAATTATGTTTATAACAAGCCTTCTTTGTTGGAACTATAACATATGGTTCATGTAGTTTTCTCTAAATCTTTTAACACTTCCGATTCAGTGAAAACGGAATGAAATAATTATGGTACGCATATTGGCTTTCAACTTTCTGACACGATTTTCAATATTTAAAAAAAAATATTAAATCCATTTTGACAAGGTGTGCAGGTCTCCCTCTTCATATTTCGCCCATCGTCTGGGATAATCCTCGAGTGAATTCGTAATAGAAATGAAGTTCTGTCGCCAGTTGAAATATGGCGATCCGCTCTCTTCTCTTTCAATATCTCCGCTAGCCATGGGTGAAGATCCGCTCCTCTTCTTTTTTCAAGTCTTAGCTGGTCAGTGAAAGAGAAGAGGAGCACCACCCTTGGCTGGCGACTTCAGGTGGAAAAACATATCTCCCATGGTTTTTGTCTGGACACATACATGCACAGACGGAATCCTACGTTAACCTCCTTTCAATTTTGTTGGTGTACGTTATTAGCGGCCTATTGATTATGAGATCAAAGTTTTTTTTTAAATGCACCAATGTAAATGACTTTAGTACTAGTAAATAAGTCGAATCCTCTTTGCTTATGCATATATTTACACATATTTTCTGGCATAAATGTATATCATGTTGTTCTTGAAATTTTAACATGTTTAATGGCATTGAAATACCACAAAAATATATTTATAGTGATATGACTTTGCAAGTATTCAACGTAGCCCCCCTTTTTTATTTCATTTTGTAATATTGTCTGTGAATCGAAAAATGATATTTTTAAATTTATTACATGTGTACTATTACATGTATTTATTTTTTTGCATGAAAGGTGTAATTCAAATGAACGTCATATTTTTCTGATATAACGTGTAAATCAACAATTTATTTGCTTTTGTCAACACTTCCCCCACCCCAGGACTTTTTCCCAATCTTTTTGATGTGAAAACTTTTTGAAAAATTTTCCCTTATCGTTTTACAAATTTCTTGACATGCTTTATAGCTCTGATTAATATAATTAATATATATTTTCTTCCATTTTTCAATACGAGCACCTGTCACATACAATTGATCGGGTCCCCTGACATGTTTTGTATTTTTTCCCTCACACATTGTGTGTAATATGTGTCAGGTGCTCCCAGTTCGCTGTTTCCTTTTGCATGTGTGCAAGCTTTTTATTGTGTTTACATCGTCAATCATAGAAGTCAAGCGGCCACGTGGAACGTCAGATTTCATCTTTACTAAACACTACTGAAATCTACAGCAGGTGTGTATATTTTTCTTTTTTAAAGAACTGTAGACAATATGCCAGGATTTTATGCCGTCAACTTCTTTATATCCATGTATATTTTATTGAATTCTTCTCTGTATCACGTTCTAAGATTTGATAAATGTGTGACATAGCTGACATATGTTTATAAACATTACAAATTCAAACATGTGTGACTTACACGTGCATTTATGTTCTTTACACTTCTTCTCACCTTGATTTATTATTATTATTTTAATTATATTTTCATCTATAGTATGCGGTACAGTAAAACTGTTTATTTTTTAACCAAGTTAACCGTCAATGACTTTTTACGAGTGTATAGAACGTGGCGTGGATTTTAAAAAATTGCTAGTCGATAATTCATATTTAGTAACGTGTTGTTAAACAATTTAATGACATAATGAACAAACTTTTTTATACATGACCTTTGTGACCTATATATTTGTCACCTTAACGAGTTGGAAAAAGTTGTATCACGAAAAAAATCTATCAGCATTTGTAGAAATACTTTGTGCAGTAACACGGAAAACTTAACTGATATAGTTGATATTCAATAAATTTGATCTAAATCTAGAGGCGTCACAAACCAAATATTTATTTAAAATCTGTATCTATGAACGCATGGTACGATATCATCTTTAATGTTTTTGTATGCCCCAGAGCCACAGTAAAACGAGAAAAAATCCTCCAATTATGTAATAATTTCCACTGTCAATGCTGTTTACAATGGCATTTTCTATCCATTTACTTGTGTATGAAGTTTTTTGACAATGTAAAATGTTTAATTAAACAGTGAGTCGTTGATCACAGTTATTTTGTTAAAAATAAAGTTCTGAATAAATATAGGGAATTAACATTGATTTCACTTGTATCAATTTCTTTTTTTCGCATTTTGTAGATCAGGAGCAGAAAAGAATAATTTATTTTACCCATGTATCTGACAAATTCTTTTATTGTAAATTTAAAACACATCAAAAAAATTCTTTACACAATGTGCACCCTATAGCTCAAGTGCACATATACAATCTACTTTTAAATAGAAAAAATGTAAACTTGCCAGATACAAGGGCATATTCAAGTCTATTAACACACTCTATGTTTTAGATGAGGTACTCGGGTACACTATTTACCAAACCTCTTCTTGTGGGTCTTGGAATTGTTGTTCTGATATTTTTTATCATCAACGTCTCGTATGACATCGAGAAGAAACGAGAAGCGGAGAAAAGGCGCGAACATCGGGCACATCTCAAAAGACAAAATTTAGACAATTTGCTATTTCATCCCCGAAAAGTGCATCATGGTCGGAAAGTGATTGGAAATCTAGATTGGCATAGTGGCGATGTAATCCCAGTGTTCTTCCGAAAAAATGTCAAGGAATTAAAAATGAATTGTGATCCTCTTTTTAGGGGATCCAGTGTAGCTTTATCAAGGGCCAAGCATATTCATCTACGACATCCTAGAAGATCCATTTCGCCCTCAAAGTATGACATTCTGACGAAAAAATGCGACAGGTTCAAATACTACCGCAATTATATCACTGGTCCCCTAACAACCAAAGAAAACAATTATCCCATAGCTTACAGCATCATTGCAAAGAACTCAGTTTTTCAATTTGAAACTTTACTCCGTGCTATCTACAGGCCTCAGAATTTCTATTGCGTCCACATCGACAAAAATGGCTCCAAAGAAATACGCCGCGCGATCCAAAACATAGCCCGATGTTTCCAGAATGTGTTTGCCATCAGTCTGGAATCTAGCGTTACGAGAGGAGAGTTATCCCACTTGAAAGCCGAACTCGGCTGTTTACGGAGTCTGCTAAAACACGGAAAGTGGAAATATTTCATCAATTTGTCAGAGAACGATTTTCCATTAAAAATTAACAGCGACATTGTAAATATACTCATGTCACTGAAAGGCGCCAACAGTATCCAGGGAATTCCAATGGATCCCCAGTAAGTGTACCCAATCTTTTATTTGTTGTAGAATAACTTGACGTCTGCCAAATTTTAAACCTTAGATTTCAATAAACTTTACCTTTCTTAAAATTAACAACATTTTGCTAATTTTATATACATGTAGTTTAGTTATAATTTACGTATTCGTTTTTTCTCAAATTATCTTAATCATTACATTTTTTTCTTTAAATAAAACTTGGGAATTAATTCATTTTTATGGTACAGACTTTTAGTGTTTTCCCGGCCTTTAAGATAATTCGTTTTTGATCAATTTTTAAATATCTATATTTATTCATCTACTTTGATTTTAAATTTTGCGTTTTTGCTTTGAATTTTATGCATTTGACCGAATTAAAATTTATTTTATCGTTATTATGACATTTATCAAGAACTGAGAAGGGCACAGGAAAGTTAACCAAAGGAATCAAACCATTCACAGGCGAGGGTGACGTAATTATGAACAGAGAGACTGCCCAATTCGCTGTCAATCATCCATCTGCGCAATCCTTGTTGTCATGGGCAGAAAAAACGAAATATCCCCAGCACACATTTTATGCAACATTGAATTACAACACACAATACAAAATAAAAGGATCTTATAGAGGTATACTACATACATTGTACATGTACTATATTTATGATTATTCTAACAACGGTCATGTACAGTGTCATTTATATCTGAATAATTATCAGTCAAAAGTATTTTTAAGTATTAAAAATCATGCATGGAATGTAAAAATAGTTAGTTATAACCGAAAAGCATGACGGGAAGTGTACTGAGGATCACAAAATCTTTACAAATCTTTTTATAATAGTTGGCAGATTGTGTCACCAAAGTACAACACAGAAAATGCATGTAAAATGATAGTCAGTTAAAAAGCAGAAGCAAGATCTATCCACTTTGGTTAAAATGACTATTAAATACTATGCCACATGATATGTATGGTGCATTTCTTCGTGTTGTTCCAGGTCCAACCGATTTGCCACATCTCAGTAACCAGGCGCACATTGCAAAATTTGTGGATGCCAAGAATTCCTCTGGTCACGCGTGTCACGGGTCAAGGTCTGCTCAAGGATATTGCACATTTGGGGTTGGGGATTTACCGTACCTCGTGAACCGGAAGGAGTTATTTGCATACCGTTTCCGGTGGGATACAGATCGTCTTGTGTTACAATGCTTAGAACAGATGATCTACCAGCGATCTAAAGAACAATTTATGTACCCCAAAGATTATGATTTGTCTTTTTACAAACACTTGGATATAGTATTGCATCAAATCTGATGAAAAATTTATTTTATGTAATTTCTCAATTTTTTAAATACATAAATTTTAGTGGAACTCAATAATGTAAATGAAATTGTGTATTCTATTAGATTTAACTGCTGGAAGTTGTGGTTGATGATGTGGAGGAATCACTTGATGACGTCACAGATTTTGTGGCAACTTTAATGGTTTTGACCTCGTTTACAGGAATAATTTCTGCTGGTGACGTACTACACACAGTGGCTGACGTAGAAGGTTCTGTCGTATTCTTTGGTGTCTCTATGCTTGTTGACTTTTTAGTTGGCGAGGGACTGTTAATTTCTGCCCCAAAACTCCTCATCATAGCAGAAGGAAACAAACGATCCCCAAGGTCCAAACTAGAGGAACTCTGTTTGAGGTCCACAGTAACGGGGTCATGGCTCTTTGAAACAAGGTCTACGGAATCTTGGTTAAAATTGTCTTTACTCTCTATTTGTAAATTGCTTGAACTTTTGGATATGTGTGGCTTTCTTCTGTATTCTTTCTGTTAGTCAAAGATAAAATTACATAGGAGTCTGAAAGGTAAAAGCGTTGTTGAACATGTTCAGAATATAAAATTTATCTTCTTCTTTATAAATTGCAGGGGTTAATTAGCCGAGATATGAAATTTCATCGCACTGATTTGCCAGCTTCTTATAATTACAGAATTAGTATTTTCACTGTAAAGTTGGAATTATTTTAGGTACAACTGTAGCTGTAATTATTATAAATCAGCGCAAGACACAATTGATTATTAACACGAAGCAGGGGATAACAGCAATTGTTCTATTAAAAATTTAGCAATTCCTCTCAGTACTTGTTTTAAACTTCATTATCCCTCTGTAGCTACTTAAATAAAATTGTACTTTAATGATAATAATTTATTAATTTTCCAAAAGAAAACTGCATTGTAATTGAAATGCGAAAAACTCAGCACACCTTTGCGGTGCAAAAACTATAATAACAGAAATCACCTTTTTGATTATATTTTAAAGTAACAATAGTCATTTATTGTAGTGAGAGTTGTCTCTCTTATCAGAGGGTTATTCAACCTTAAAATAAAAATGTAGGCTCATTGTGCTAAGGAAGACATTTTTCTCTGAATTGTATTACAAATCTGTTTATTTGCCAATACTGAAACTATATACAATAAATCTGTTTATGGTGCTAGTTTAATGTTTACGCATGATAAGTTTAAAAGAAGTGGCCAGGTGAAATACACCTTTTCTGCAGCTCATAATACTATATACAGGGAAATTTCCGCCCCTGTTTTATTTTTTTGCCCCTTAAGGTCAAGATCTAGCAAATGACTTTAGACTAACTTTTTTGTGCTAGATCCATTATGACGTCATAATCAATTTTTATCTCTTTTTTCCCGTACTTTACGGCTCTAATAGAATTATGTAGAAAATAAAGTATTTTCATGGAATTCAATTTGAAATCATGTGAAAAGTAATCCCGATACCTATATTCAATTTAATATTATTTTAAAGAAGAGGCCAAGAACGTACAAATTATCGTTTTCTAAGAGATTGTAGGCAATCTGGATACATTTCCTTTGTCTGATACGGAAAAAACTCCCGTATTCATGTCTGGTTTTCTTAATTTTTCATTGAAAATGACAGTTTAAAATATGATTTTTCACCTTGTTCGTCTACAAATTATGCCCCGAAACACCTTATTTGACCAAGCTAAAGTTATAAAGCATCATTAAAGGAATTTATTTCTCAAATTTGAAAAATCTGTAGGCACCTTTCATTTACTAGATCTTGACCTTAAGGTCAAGGTCTAGCAAATGACTTTAGACCGTCTTTTCGGTGCTAGATCCATTATGACGTCATAATCAATCTAAACTTTCCTTTTCCCGTACTTTACAGCTCCAATAGAATTATGTAGAAAATAAAGTATTTTCATGGCATTCAATTTGAAATCATGTGAAAAGTAATCCCGATACCTATATTCAATTTCACTTTATTTTAAAGAAGAGGCTAAGAACATACAAATTACCGTTTTCTGAGAGACTAGACAATCTGAATACATTTCCTTCGTCTGATATGGAAAAAACTCCCATATTCGTGACTGGCTTTCTTAATTTTTCATTGAAAATGACAGTTTACAAGATAGTTTTTCGTCTTGTTTTCTTGTAAATTATGCCCCGATACACCTTATTTGACCGAGCTATAGTTATAAAGCATCATAAAAGGAATTTATTTCTCAAGTTTGAGAAATCTGTAGGCTCTTTTCATTTACTAAATCTTGACCTTAAGAGGATTAACCTTCTCGCAAGTAGGCCCGGGCGAATTAAAAATGGGACGAATTCAAAAAAGACAGAGTTATCACTTTGTAAAACACAACTGTGACTTGGTGAATTTAAAACGGAGCAAAATAGTTTGCAGATGTGATAGGGCGTAAATAATGCGTACGCGGCGTAAACAACTTTATACAGTATTAACATAAAAGCTACGTGGCGCAGTGGTTAGAGCGTTTGCTCTAGAACCGCGGAGTAAGGAGTTGATTCTTACGTCGCGGGTTCGAATCCCACTGCTGCACGTGGAGCCCGGTCCTTCGAATGAGACTATATAAACCGAGGTTCCGTGTCGTAGAAATTGCTGGCACGAAAAAGATCCCTCACTGCTCAATGGCCCTGAATACCGAGTATATGTAAGTGGTGGCATCTTCACATGAGTGATAAATTCTCGAGAGGGACGTTAAACAACAAACAAACAAAACAAACAAAAGCTACTTCTTCTTTAAGGCTTTCTTAACGTGTGCGGACAATACCTTAGGTTTTGTTGATTTCTCAGGATAAAGCACCAAAGAACTCATCTGGTAAAATCTTTGTCGATTCTCATCTTTTTCTTTTTGTTTCCTATTTCTTCGAATTTTATCCAAGAAACTGCATCATAAGAAAAGTACAACACAATTAAGAAAAATGTATTGCAAATTATGCTAATTTGATAAAACTTCCGTCTCCTAGTTTTCCGTGTCAATAAAAAGTAGTCGCCTGATATCATATCACTTGTTCGGCTTAAATACTGAAATAGATCGCTACCAAAGAGCTTTTTCTTCAGCAGTGATCTATGTTAACGGGTCTCATATCAGAAAAATTCGGAAAAAGAGAAAAATGCATGATCTTACTTTGAAAATTGATTAAAATTAAAGTACATGTACAACATAATATGCTCAGTTGCATAGCTAGCTTGTACCCTTTATTTGGCCATAATGAATACAATCAGTTAAATGCTTATATTGTTGAATAATGAATATGTCTTAGATTTCTAATACAAAAATCAGTGACTTCGCTAGTTATGAATTCAAACATTCAGAGTGTACTTAAATTCCTTCAGTAAGTACCTCAGTGATTCCTCGGGTTTCCTGCCCATAGCATCCAAATCACCGTCAAAACGGATGTCCTTCCGTACATTTTTGTCCGATTGATACTGCAAGGGAAATAAAGGATCTCTTGATTTAGATATAGAGCGATTCATTTAATTGCATTATAAGTAACCTAATTTTGACGCAAATCATATAGTGTTTACAGTAAAACACAGATAGTGTGCCCCCTGGGTGTGTGATATCGCAATTCTTTAATATACAGTGTGAGAGGAATTTTCATTTGATGTGATCAATTCATTACAAGTTGATTTTAGCTTCGATTTTTTATTGTCATCATAATCTGTCGATGTAAACATGTATAAACTTACTTTTCATTGTCGTCATGACAGTATGAACTTTGACATTTCATTGTTGTTATGCGACAGACTAAGCTTAAACTTTTTCATTGTATTGGCTTCATTTTTATAATGTCGATATAAGCAGGTATTACTAATATCTGACTTTTCATTACAATTTGTTATAAGCAGGTATCTTATTAGCGTACACTTTTCATATCGTTATGAATATATTAACATAGACTTTTCAATTTCAATTTTACTTCTTGTTAACTCTGAGGTTCAAAACGGCCCTAATATCAGAGTGGGCAAGTTAAAACTCTGGGGCCCGTTTTACAAAGAACTTAAGACTAAGACCAAAATTTTATTCTGCTTATAACTTTCTAATTTACATTAAATTGAAAAATGGTTTTATTCTTTTCAAAAGGAATGCTGAAAGATATTCTTATGCTAGAAATTTTGACCAAAATCATTAATTCTGGCAAATTTTACAAACAACTGAAGTATTTGGTTTAGTTGTAAGTTGTTTTGTAAAACGGGCCACAGATTCGTACAGGAATAAGGTTAATGTATACCTTGATTGTAAACAGCATGACAATAACAAAGATGGTACAGCCCAGAAGGATTCCGAAGATCAACAGGAACATTCGTCTTCTACGGAGGGTCTCCATAATGTCCGCCTCTGACACCTGAACGTAAAAACAAATAAATATATTTGAATTGTTCAGTGATACATAATAATTTTAAAAGATGTCTTTGTGAGAGTGTATTGAATATATATTTAGGCCATTCCATTATTTTCCTCAGTTTCCCTGCGCCCAGGTTTAAGACACCATAAATCAAGGAGAAACGCCAAAATTTAAATCATTTGTTCAGAAATTTATTATTCTGGATAAAAAAAGATGAGCATTTGGCATTTATTTATCTTAATTGGATGAGTTTTTCTAATACAAAATTCTAAAAAGGCAGTCAACTTTATAGGAAAAATTGATTTAACTGCCGTCAATCTTTATGTACTACTAACTGTTAGATATTAAGAAAAATATCTATGTAGATTTAATGTATGAATACCCTTTCCCAGTGTTCGAACATAATCTTTTTGTGCCATCCGTCAATAGTATCCATCCAATCTGCAGGTAAAATAGACATAAAATTTTCGATGAATATTAAAAAAAAAAAAAGAAAGATTTTTTTCAGATTCATGAAACAATATATAGTGTACGAAGCAATTATTTCTTAAAATTTAATTGGGTGAAAAAACTTAGATCTTGTATACCAATGACTGTGTAGTTTAAGGTTGAGTCTTTTTTCTCTTGGCTGGTGATATGTGGAGCTGCTTTCCTTTGAATTACAGAGGTCTTTGAGGTAGTATTTCCTTGAGGTACAGGTGTTGAAGCAGTGGTAATAAATCTGTCATCTACTGTAAAATAAAATTGTTTTTGAAATATATAATCTAATTTTTCATTCAGAATATACATAATTTACTTCCTTCAATCAGTGTCTCTCTCAAAGTCACCCACAGGTGTGCTTCCATCTCATTTTGATGATAGAAAAAAAGGTTTCATTTGCAAACCATTTATATTGCATGAGATTTGATATAAAATAATTGAACAAACAGGTATGAACAATTGTTAATGGAACGACTTGTCTTTTAATGGCAAAACTGACTTTGTGGTGATGACTGTGTTAATATCCGTGGCGGATCCAGGATTCTTAAAAGAGGGGGGTCGGGGTGGGGGACCAGGGGCATAGCTCCCAGAAGTGGGACAAGGGGGCAAAGCTCCCGGAAGCTCTCAGGTTTCAGGAGTTTTATGAACAGTTTTTAAAAAAATTACTTTCGTTATATTTTACGCGTAATTAATGCAATATCCCATACCAAAAAAATTACTCCCCCCCTAAATCCGCCAGTGATTAAGTAGTGCGTAGTTATCATTTTGTGGTGTGTATATGTCATTTTGTGATTATGTGGTGTGCTTTTTGTCTTTACGCGGTGTGTATTTGTCATTATATCATGTACATAAGATTTTGCCATTATATGATTCACGATGTAGCCGGTACATATTCAACTATAGTCGACTTGTAAAGGGTATATTACTGTCTAAAATGATAAGTGTAAACGTATTCGTTTCAAATTTCCCAAAATGCTTAAATGGAATGTTAAATTCTTAGGAAAAAGGGATATATAATCCATATATCTATTAACTCGACTTCTGTGACCAAGCTTTTCTTTGAACAAGTGCGTGTAAATTCATCAGGAGTTGTCTCCGCTTGGCTTCGTCCTGTATCCGCATGATGGCAGCGCGAATCTCGGACAGTTTCAGCTGAAGTTGAGGATTATTGGGGTCCGTCGGGTTCTCTTGCTTTGTAATTTTGGCACAGGGAATATGATTCCATTTATTTTTCCATATTTCTGTAAAAAGTTAATAAGTATGTATATTTAAACATTATATAAATATCATTTTTTTTCTTTTTTTCCCTTTTTTTTCTTTTTTTTTTTCAAAATATATTTAAATAGAGATTTGTAATTGTATGCATACATACAAAGATGTTTTACAAGTCACGAATGTAATTTATACTTACCACAGTCAGTCTTTAAATTAGAAAGGCACGTCTCGAAAATCGTCGACTTTTTCACAGTCTCCAAGTCTTTTACAGGCATCTCCACATTATTTATTGCATGCCACCACTCACATGAACAGTGAAGCTCTCCAGCATAAGTGCATCTGAGAAAATTCGTGTTCGAAATAGTCTTGAAAACACACTACTCGCCATGCAAAGTGTGAATTCGGGAAATTTTTTTTCACTTTAAAGCACTGTTAATTTTATAGAAATTTGTAGAAATTGTCAGTATTATTGACAGTCTTATTACCTTAACCAGACATTGCTGATGCACGAGAAAATAAATCTGAGGCCACTGCAACTTTCATCTGTTTCCTTCGGTAATCGGCAAAATGGCCGACATTTGGGATTGGACTGTATCAAGTATCCTTCTCCCTCAATGATCAGAAGGGAGAAGATCAAAGGCGCCCAAATATAAGTACTCCTTCCCATCACAGCATCTGTATCATAGTTACCTTCAAGAATACAGTATAACGATATTAAATTTCATTTTCAAGACTCTATGTATTTAGCTTTAATTTAAGATGGGTAACTGATGTTTTGCTCTCTCTCTCTTTCTCTCTCTCTCATAAAGTATAACTTATTATAGGGCCTGATACATGATATACCCATCAATACGGACTTTAGTTGCAGGCACGTAGTATCGGGGGGGGGGGGGGCACTTTTTTTCCATACATAACCTTTTACTGTGAAAATGTTCATTGGAAGGCTGGTTCCCCGCCCCACCGCCCTCCAAACACACACACATATGTTTTTGTTGTTGCAACATAGTTTATAAATCATGGTAATGGGGTATTAGGCCTAATAAAATTTGGTTGTGGAGGGAAGTAGGAATCTACCCCCTTCCGACCTCCGCGAAATAGGATTCTCGAGATTACACAATTTTCTTTTTTTTATTGCTTGTGAAAATTTTTTTCAGGTAAGTTGTCATTTTTTTTCTTAACCCCCCCCCCTCAACTTTCGAAAACGATACTAGAAGTGCCTGAGTTTCTACTTCAGCATATTTATTTAAATTCAAAAAAGGTCTAGAGGAATAGCAAAATTCATATTTCATCTATTAGAATCTTTGCTTTTTATTAACATAATCACATCAAAATTTATTATTGTTTACCTATATTGAATAATGTACACATATGCCGTAGCACAACATGGTCCTTAGACTTTGTAACTTTTTACGTTTTACAATATAAACTTAATTAAAAAATGTGTCCAAAAAAAAAATTAATTAGCAATGGCATTTTTAATTCATAACTTACCTTTCTCTTATTAATACCGCCGGTGATTTTCATGTTTGACGTTGGTTTGCATAACTTGGCGGTTGAAATCCTATTGTGACGTCATTTCTTTTTGTTAATTTTTTACGTCACTCTTATTGGGGTCGAAAAGAGTATTTGATGATCTTTCAAATCATGCAGATAAATATTTCAATCTTAAAAAAAAAACTTCCAAAGATCCTACATATTACTTGTTCCTGTACAAAGATAGATATAACCAGGTATTAACTTTTATTTTTGAAAACACTTGTATCCTGTAAAACATTATATAATGTTACCAAAAGACATCAGACCTCTTAGATCCGCGCCATATACACTCTGCGTAGAGTGTATAGGGCGCGGATCTATGAAGTCTGATTTTAATTAGATTGAAGATATTCTTTAGAGAGAGAGAGAGAGAGAGCTGAAAGAAAAAATGAAGGCACAATCGCAACGTCTCGGGCCTTTCCGGCAGAGTTCGAAAAAAAACACCTGGTCCACGAGGTGTTTTGCCAGAAAGGTCCGAGATATTTTTCCGAGCTCTGCCGGAAAGTCCCGAGATGTTGCGATTGATGAAGGCGATGTTCAGATTGGTGGACAGTAATAATGAATGACATTCCGAGTATATTGTATTTATTTACAAGTATCATGATGTATATAACTGACATTAATAACTTGACAATTATATTTATTAGCTGTTATAATTAAGAAAGAAAATAAAACGTTGAAATGCTAATACTACATTTTTCTTTTTTATCACTCTTCACATCAGTTGCATTCTATTTCAATAAAGACCTAAGTGATCTAGGACTAAGAATCAGGTATATTCAGGTATTCAAAACTTTATTTACACGGCAAAATGCATTCATTGAGAAAGCTTTGTCTAGAGTCTCTAGATCTGGCCTAGAGTGAATATGTGCGCCGTACGTAATATCATAAATTAAATTCTATTATGAAACGCAAAAAAATTTTCATGTGGAAAAAATGAAAAGGATAATAGAGTGTGATGTCCACCGAAACAGATTGCACCAGCTGTTACCTTAACTCTCTCTCTCTCTCTCAATACCAGTACAAGTTGCTGTCTTTCAAAAAGGACTACAATGCGTGGACCAGAGGCACGTGTTTCTAACAATAATTTTAAAAAAAATCTTTGCTGTAATGAAAATGTCCTGTAAAAAGGATTTCTTTCATCTAAGATCAAGGCATTTAATGCAGCACTGAGCTTTAACGTTAGAATGTTGGACTTAAATGGGTGTGTGTGTGTGGGGGGGGGGGCATCCACCGCTGATCCGTGTATCACAATTACCCTGCACTTGTATGTGAAATGTTTTGCTAAAGAAAGCTCAGACTGAGTTTAAAAAACACTGCCCCGTTTAAAGCAATGTTGTTCTGTTGTTCTCCCTGACAGGGAAGACATTTCCGTTGAAGAAAGAAGACGTCTCTATTGAAAACAGAATATAATACCAGACCCATAGCAACCGGAAATGGGGGGGGGGGTAATTTTGCCAGTATATACTTTACTATATAAGGAAGACACGGTTAATTTAGCGTTCTGCCCCCTAAATAGTTTTGCCAGCAAAATCTTTTCATAGAAATGTAAACTAATTTACGGTCGTATAGCCCTCACTAAATGTCAGATGACCTTTTTGTTGAACAGATTTTATAATTCTTTCTGAGGGTCAAACGATTTTTATTAAAAATGAAAAATCAAATGGGGGGGGGGGGGGGTGGGGTGTTCTATGATACATAATTGGTTTAGTTACTCTAATAAAACCAGATCAGTCTTATTTCTTTTGGAAAATGCCCATTATATACACTTACGTAAAATTAAATTTCAACATGCTAGAATTTCTTTCGAATTTTTATGATCTATTTCTATTATAAGAATTAAATTTTATCGTATCACTTTGCATTGTTTCTCTGACGATTTGAAACATCTGATATGGGCTGTTAATCCGTGAAATGATATATATATACGATAACTTTTTTATCTTTTTTTAAAAATACATTTATTTATTTATTTGTTGGTAATTACGAAAACTAACAGTTGCAAATATATTGCAGGAAAAATACATAAATCGGGTTAGCGGGTGATGTAATTTTTTTCTGCAATATGGTTGCAACAGCTAATCTTGAAAACAAATGAAGCCTTGCATTAATGTTAGCTATATTCCAATAACCGTTGTACTTACGTCGTTCAAAGGGAGACCATTTGAGTACATCCAGAGTTACCTTATGCAAATTTTGAAAAAAATACAGCTAAGCATTTGAGAGATAAGTATAAATTGGAGATTTCTAGAGCTAATATGGGCTAATATATGTTAAGGTTAGTTGAAGAGAGAAACCTTCTGCTTGGTTCAGGCAATAAAGACATATGCACAAATATGTATCTGCGCATACACGCATAGTACTGAATGCAACCTGTGCTCCAAATGGCCGCCATCAAATAAGTCGTATTCATTTCAGTTTTCACATATTGGTAATATATTTTCCTTCCTTCAAACAAATGAATTATGACAGAGTTTTTTGTCTAGAAGTAGAATAGTTTTAAGAAGAATAATTCTTTTTAATGTTTGACAATGCACGTTTTTTTTTTTTTTTTTTTTTTTTTTTTTTTTAGGAATTAAGATTCAGCAATTGGAAAGTTGTGAGAGAAAAATTGCATATGCTCAATGTAGTTATAAACTATATACACACGCAAAATATTCCCGATTTCTTTCTCTCGTACAGAATTGAATACAAGGTCATTGTTGCAGTCTTTGAAAAGTAACTGTTTTGTGAGCTGAACTCCATTCATCACGTGACCGGTTACCGTTCACCGCTATCAATGGAAAGCGTGACAGCTCTTGCCGACTACAGAACAAAATGTAGTATCAGCTTTTCGACGTTTTTATTTTTCTGTCTTAAATATCATAGCTAAGAAATATATAATATTGCCTTCATTTCTTCTTTCAGTTCCGCGATACCATTACAATAAATAAAAGGATTGACAACTGAAGACATGTGTTAGTAAACATCATTTATATACATTCTGTTACCGGATATTCAATGTTTTGTAGTTGGATATGAAATTTATTTCACGAGTGGGACATTTTTTTAAAAATATTTTCACGAGTTTGAAGCACTCGTGAAAATATGAAAAAATCCTGTCTCACGAGTGAAATGAATTCCATATATATATATATATATATATATATATATATATATATATATATATATATATATATATATATATATATATATATATATATATCCAAAATTGAAATAAAGTCTCAGTAATCGGATTACAATATTAAACAAATATAAAAAGAAAACACAAGAATCCTCCGTAAAGCTTTAGCGCTTTCATTAAAAATCTTCAGAAGCTTTACATTACAAAAATGTATACACAACGGTAATATAGTAACAATGATTATGACGTTAAACTAAGTGTAACGTTTAATGTCTATATTGTGACGTCATAGATAAAATACTGCAATGATGATGAAAAAGTTCGGGAAAATCATAGGTAGTTTATAAGAGACTATTAAGTTTTGGCTTTAGAATACAAATAAAATGTTTTTCTTTTTCCCGTCTCTGGATATCACTGGCACATCTGAGTTTATAAAAAGGGAAAATGTTAAATCGTTTTTTTCCACAAGTTTCCAGGTGTGCACTTAACTGGATTTGTCTATATTCAGGTGTACTGATATGTACTGATATATATTGATATATATATATATATATATATATATATATATATATATATATATATATATATATATATATATATATATATATATATATATATATATTACTACAACATATTGATTTTTCTGTTAATTACATCTTCTTTGATTTTCCCTTTGCCTCTTTTTTTTGTAACACAGTGTCATAGGCTATGGCATCATGGGTGAGCATGAAACGTCATAACTTAGCGATTGTGAGATTGAAATCATTGAAACATGAATTTCAACGAGATATTTGGCGAAAGTTTGGCAGTTGTTGTCTCTGTCATGATGGTTTATTTACTATATCTTATAACAGGCAAGGGAGTATTATTACTATACACTCCTCGTGAATGAAAGGAAAATCGAGACAAAATATCACTTCCTTTCTTAAATCCTGTTCGTAAAAATTTCAAACTGTGTATTTACATCCGTTATTTACACCACGCTATTCTACATACAAATACTCGGAATGGCTTTCGTTCAGATTACCGGCCTCCAACTCTAAACATCGCCTTCATTTCTTCTTTCAGTTCCGCGATACCAGTACAATAGATAATGGGATTGACAACCGAAGACAGCATGTATGCAATGAATGCAGATATCTTTGCACCAGGCGATGTATCATCAAAAAAGTTTACAACGGTGATTGGCAACGTTGAAATAAAAAGTGCTGATATAATTATACCGACCAGTTTCAGGGATTGATGCATTCTTTTTCTTTTCATATTAATGAGTCCTTGCTGAACGACAGTCGATGGAGTGGAAGTATCGCTGCAAGATGTTCTTCTGTACCGTTTTTGAACTTTGAACAAAGCTCCCACGTACAGTGAAACAGTACTGAGCACTATTGTCATATTTAGAGAGAAAAACGTTGTACGAAAAATGATTAAATTATCTCCGAATACCGGAATTAAATCGCATGTCGACGAAGGGTACTTCATCGAAATAAACGATCCTACCAAGATGGCTGCAAATGTCCAGCTAATAGCAAGAACAAAATATCTGCGTTTACCATTCCATAAAAACGTATTTAAGGTATTCTCAGCAAGAACAAGATAACGATTTAAACTAATGTAAAACACCTGCAGAAAAGACATCTGAAATGAAACGAGCAGCAGAAAAACAACCACTGCACACAGAATACAAGAACTAAAGTTTGAACAATATCCATATTGTTTTATACGTAGAATTCCACGGAGAAAAAGAGAAATTCCCAGCAAGAGATCACTTGTCGCCAGGGATATGACTAAATTGTAATGAATATTGGTTCTCAGCTTGCTGTTTCTTCTAGCAGCAAGAAGAACCAACGTATTAGAGACAACAGTTGCAACAGCCA